ATGAGCTTCCATGTTGTGGAGAGACAGGTTATTGGCCGGTAATTGGAGGGGACTGCACCCTTGACAGGGTCCTTCATGATCAGGACCGTTCGCCCTTCGGTTAGCCATTCTGGGTGAGTCCCATCTCTCAGCAGCTGGTTCATTTGTGCTGCTAGGCGCTCATGGAGTGATGTGAGTGTCCTTAGCCAGTAGGCATGGACCATATCAGGGCCAGGTGCTGTCCAGTTTTTCATACCTGAGACTCTTTCTCGGATGTCTGCCTCTGTGATGGTAACTGAGTTCTGTTCTGGGAGGTGGCTGTGCTCCTCTCTCAGGGACACCAGCCATTGTGCACTTCTGTTATGTGCTGCTACTTCTCCCATATGTTCCTCCAGAACTGTTCAGTTTCCAGCCTCGGTGGATCTGCTCCCCTGTTGTTACCCTGTTGTTACCCTGTTGTTACCCTGTCGTTACCCTGTTGTTACCCTGTTGTTACACTGTTGTTACCCTGTTGTTACCCTGTTGTTACCCTGTTGTTACCCTGTCGTTACCCTGTTGTTACCCTGTTGTTACCCTGTTGTTACCCTGTTGTTACCCTGTTGTTACCCTGTTGTTACCCTGTTGTTACCCTGTTGTTACCCTGTTGTTACCCTGTTGTTACCCTGTTGTTACACTGTTGTTACCCTGTTGTTACCCTGTTGTTACCCTGTTGTTACCCTGTTGTTACACTGTTGTTACACTGTTGTTACCCTGTTGTTACCCTGTTGTTACACTGTTGTTACCCTGTTGTTACCCTGTTGTTACACTGTTGTTACCCTGTTGTTACCCTGTTGTTACCCTGTTGTTACCCTGTCGTTACCCTGTTGTTACACTGTTGTTACCTTGTCGTTACACTGTTGTTACACTGTTGTTACCCTGTCGTTACCCTGTTGTTACACTGTTGTTACCCTGTCGTTACACTGTTGTTACCTTGTCGTTACACTGTCGTTACACTGTTGTTACACTGTTGTTACACTGTTGTTACCCTGTCGTTACCCTGTCGTTACCCTGTCGTTACCCTGTTGTTACACTGTTGTTACCCTGTTGTTACACTGTTGTTACCCTGTTGTTACCCTGTTGTTACCCTGTTGTTACACTGTTGTTACCCTGTTGTTACCCTGTTGTTACCCTGTTGTTACCCTGTTGTTACACTGTTGTTACACTGTAGTTACCCTGTTGTTACACTGTTGTTACCCTGTTGTTACACTGTTGTTACCCTGTTGTTACCCTGTTGTTACACTGTTGTTACCCTGTTGTTACACTGTTGTTACCCTGTTGTTACCCTGTTGTTACACTGTTGTTACCCTGTTGTTACACTGTTGTTACCCTGTTGTTACCCTGTTGTTACCCTGTTGTTACACTGTTGTTACCCTGTTGTTACACTGTTGTTACCCTGTTGTTACACTGTTGTTACCCTGTTGTTACCCTGTTGTTACACTGTTGTTACACTGTTGTTACACTGTTGTTACACTGTTGTTACCCTGTTGTTACCCTGTTGTTACCCTGTTGTTACCCTGTTGTTACACTGTTGTTACCCTGTTGTTACCCTGTTGTTACACTGTTGTTACACTGTTGTTACCCTGTTGTTACCCTGTTGTTACCCTGTTGTTACCCTGTTGTTACACTGTTGTTACCCTGTTGTTACACTGTTGTTACCTTGTCGTTACACTGTTGTTACACTGTTGTTACCCTGTCGTTACCCTGTCGTTACCCTGTCGTTACCCTGTCGTTACCCTGTCGTTACCCTGTCGTTACCCTGTCGTTACCCTGTCGTTACCCTGTCGTTACCCTGTTGTTACCCTGTTGTTACACTGTTGTTACCCTGTTGTTACCCTGTTGTTACCCTGTTGTTACACTGTTGTTACACTGTTGTTACCCTGTTGTTACACTGTTGTTACACTGTTGTTACCCTGTTGTTACACTGTTGTTACCCTGTTTTTACCCTGTTGTTACACTGTTGTTACCCTGTTGTTACCCTGTTGTTACACTGTTGTTACACTGTTGTTACACTGTTGTTACCCTGTTGTTACCCTGTTGTTACACTGTTGTTACCCTGTTGTTACCCTGTTGTTACACTGTTGTTACCCTGTTGTTACACTGTTGTTACACTGTTGTTACCCTGTTGTTACCCTGTTGTTACCCTGTTGTTACACTGTTGTTACCCTGTTGTTACACTGTTGTTACACTGTTGTTACCCTGTTGTTACCCTGTTGTTACACTGTTGTTACCCTGTTGTTACACTGTTGTTACCCTGTTGTTACACTGTTGTTACACTGTTGTTACACTGTTGTTACCCTGTTGTTACCCTGTTGTTACCTTGTCGTTACACTGTTGTTACACTGTTGTTACACTGTTGTTACCCTGTTGTTACACTGTTGTTACACTGTTGTTACCCTGTTGTTACCTTGTCGTTACACTGTTGTTACACTGTCGTTACCCTGTTGTTACACTGTTGTTACCCTGTTGTTACACTGTTGTTACCCTGTTGTTACACTGTTGTTACCCTGTTGTTACCCTGTTGTTACACTGTTGTTACACTGTTGTTACCCTGTTGTTACACTGTTGTTACCCTGTTGTTACACTGTTGTTACCCTGTTGTTACCCTGTTGTTACCCTGTTGTTACCCTGTTGTTACACTGTTGTTACCCTGTTGTTACACTGTTGTTACCCTGTTGTTACACTGTTGTTACCCTGTTGTTACCCTGTTGTTACCCTGTTGTTACCCTGTTGTTACCCTGTTGTTACCTTGTCGTTACACTGTTGTTACACTGTTGTTACACTGTTGTTACCCTGTTGTTACACTGTTGTTACCCTGTTGTTACCTTGTCGTTACACTGTTGTTACACTGTTGTTACACTGTCGTTACACTGTTGTTACACTGTTGTTACCCTGTTGTTACACTGTTGTTACCCTGTTGTTACACTGTTGTTACCCTGTTGTTACCCTGTTGTTACCCTGTTGTTACCCTGTTGTTACCCTGTTGTTACACTGTTGTTACCCTGTTGTTACCCTGTTGTTACACTGTTGTTACCTTGTCGTTACACTGTTGTTACCCTGTTGTTACCCTGTCGTTACCCTGTTGTTACACTGTTGTTACACTGTTGTTACACTGTTGTTACACTGTTGTTACCCTGTTGTTACCCTGTTGTTACCCTGTTGTTACCCTGTTGTTACACTGTTGTTACACTGTTGTTACCCTGTTGTTACCCTGTTGTTACCCTGTTGTTACCCTGTTGTTACACTGTTGTTACCTTGTCGTTACACTGTTGTTACCCTGTTGTTACCCTGTCGTTACCCTGTTGTTACCCTGTTGTTACACTGTTGTTACACTGTTGTTACCCTGTTGTTACCCTGTTGTTACACTGTTGTTACCCTGTTGTTACACTGTTGTTACCCTGTTGTTACACTGTTGTTACCCTGTTGTTACCCTGTTGTTACCCTGTTGTTACCCTGTTGTTACACTGTTGTTACACTGTTGTTACCCTGTTGTTACACTGTTGTTACCTTGTCGTTACACTGTTGTTACCCTGTTGTTACCCTGTCGTTACCCTGTTGTTACCCTGTTGTTACCCTGTTGTTACCCTGTTGTTACACTGTTGTTACCCTGTTGTTACCCTGTTGTTACCCTGTTGTTACCCTGTCGTTACCCTGTCGTTACCCTGTCGTTACCCTGTTGTTACACTGTTGTTACCCTGTTGTTACCCTGTTGTTACCCTGTTGTTACACTGTTGTTACACTGTTGTTACACTGTTGTTACCCTGTTGTTACCCTGTTGTTACCCTGTTGTTACCCTGTTGTTACACTGTTGTTACCCTGTTGTTACACTGTTGTTACCTTGTCGTTACACTGTTGTTACCCTGTTGTTACCCTGTCGTTACCCTGTCGTTACCCTGTTGTTACCCTGTTGTTACACTGTTGTTACACTGTTGTTACCCTGTTGTTACCCTGTTGTTACACTGTTGTTACCCTGTTGTTACACTGTTGTTACACTGTTGTTACCCTGTTGTTACACTGTTGTTACCCTGTTGTTACCCTGTTGTTACCCTGTTGTTACCCTGTTGTTACACTGTTGTTACCCTGTTGTTACACTGTTGTTACCTTGTCGTTACACTGTTGTTACCCTGTTGTTACCCTGTCGTTACCCTGTTGTTACCCTGTTGTTACCCTGTTGTTACCCTGTTGTTACACTGTTGTTACCCTGTTGTTACCCTGTTGTTACCCTGTCGTTACCCTGTCGTTACCCTGTCGTTACCCTGTCGTTACCCTGTTGTTACCCTGTTGTTACCCTGTTGTTACCCTGTTGTTACCCTGTCGTTACCCTGTTGTTACCTGCCACTGAGCGTACACCTTCGCCTTCTGGCTTCATTCTCTATAGTGTACCTCTGTAGGCGGCTGGCCAGGGCTTGGAGCCCTTGTTTGGCAGTTTCGAGTGCTTCAGGTATGGTCATCTGGCTGTATATACACAATATATATATATATATATAATATATTATATATATATATATTTTATTTTTTATTTTTTTATATATATATATATAACACACAGCAGATTGTGTGTTATATATATAACACACAATCTTAAAAAAGGATTCCTACTTTTGTCCCAAAAAGAGCTCTTCTATCTCTAAGGGAGCAGCGGCTCTACTCCGAGCTCCTCCTGTGTGACTGAGCTCTTTCTCTAAGGCAGCAGCAGCTCTTCTACAAGCTCCTCCTGTGTGACTGAGCTCCTCTATCTCTCAGGGAGCAGCAGCTCTACTCCGAGCTCCTCCTGTGTGACTGAGCTTTGAGCCTCTGCTTTGGCTATCACTCAAAGATCACGATCAGAGGTGAGGGAGAGCTCTGAATGCAGACATTGCTCCCTCATGACCAGAGGTGAGGGAGTGTACAGAGAGCTCTGCGTGCAGACGCTGCTCCCTCTTCACACCACACAGATCTTTCCCTCACTGAGAACAGAGCCAGAGAAAGGATTAGAATCGGTACAAATGAAGATAAAATGTTGCAGTGTCTGTAACCAGCGGAGGGCGGTCCGCAGCAGGGCAGCAGTCTGTCTGCAGCAGTCTGTCTGCAGCAGTCTGTCTGCAGCAGTCTGTCTGCAGCAGTCTGTCTGCAGCAGTCAGTCTGCAGCAGCCCGCAGCAGGGCAGCAGTCTGTCTGCAGCAGTCTGTCTGCAGCAGCCCGCAGCAGTCTGTCTGCAGCAGTCTGTCTGCAGCAGCCCGCAGCAGTCTGTCTGCAGCAGTCAGTCTGCAGCAGCCCGCAGCAGTCTGTCTGCAGCAGTCTGTCTGCAGCAGCCCGCAGCAGTCTGTCTGCAGCAGCCCGCAGCAGGGCAGCAGTCTGTCTGCAGCAGCCCGCAGCAGGGCAGCAGTCTGTCTGCAGCAGTCTGTCTGCAGCAGCCCGCAGCAGGGCAGCAGTCTGTCTGCAGCAGTCTGTCTGCAGCAGTCTGTCTGCAGCAGTCCGCAGCAGGGCAGCAGTCTGTCTGCAGCAGTCTGTCTGCAGCAGTCTGTCTGCAGCAGTCCGCAGCAGGGCAGCAGTCTGTCTGCAGCAGTCTGTCTGCAGCAGTCTGTCTGCAGCAGTCTGTCTGCAGCAGTCCGCAGCAGTCTGTCTGCAGCAGTCCGCAGCAGGGCAGCAGTCTGTCTGCAGCAGTCTGTCTGCAGCAGTCCGCAGCAGGGCAGCAGTCTGTCTGCAGCAGTCTGTCTGCAGCAGTCCGCAGCAGGGCAGCAGTCTGTCTGCAGCAGTCTGTCTGCAGCAGTCTGTCTGCAGCAGTCCGCAGCAGGGCAGCAGTCTGTCTGCAGCAGTCCGCAGCAGGGCAGCAGTCTGTCTGCAGCAGTCCGCAGCAGTCTGTCTGCAGCAGTCCGCAGCAGGGCAGCAGTCTGTCTGCAGCAGCCCGCAGCAGGGCAGCAGTCTGTCTGCAGCAGCCCGCAGCAGGGCAGCAGTCTGTCTGCAGCAGTCCGCAGCAGGGCAGCAGTCTGTCTGCAGCAGTCTGTCTGCAGCAGTCCGCAGCAGGGCAGCAGTCTGTCTGCAGCAGTCTGTCTGCAGCAGTCCGCAGCAGGGCAGCAGTCTGTCTGCAGCAGTCTGTCTGCAGCAGTCTGTCTGCAGCAGTCCGCAGCAGGGCAGCAGTCTGTCTGCAGCAGTCTGTCTGCAGCAGTCTGTCTGCAGCAGTCCGCAGCAGGGCAGCAGTCTGTCTGCAGCAGTCCGCAGCAGGGCAGCAGTCTGTCTGCAGCAGCCCGCAGCAGGGCAGCAGTCTGCAGCAGCTTTTCCTTCTGCAGGATTCTCACTCTTTAATCTTTTATTTCATGTAACTCAGTTGGTTGACTCCGCTGTTATGGACAGCGTCATTCTGCGAAGCCACTAGTTTCCAATGCACGGATGGAGAGCATTGTGTGTCCAGTGGCAGGTGAGGGACGTCAGTATAAATGTGGTTCTAATAGTTTTGTCCTGCGTGTGTAGATGTAAACACTGCATGGCCATAAGAGCATGTGATGCAGCCATATGCTGCTGTACGTGCAGGTAGGATGTAGCGAGTGTTAGCCTTTAGCTCAAACACTAGCTTTGCAGGCTAACTTTAATGTAAAATATACCGTTACAGAGAGCGGGTTTACTCATCTCTAACATATAGCCATGTTCTGGTCTCACGGTATTCACTCGGGGGTTTTGTTTTTCAAATAAACCTCTTTGCAAATGCAGTAACCAAGCTTTAGTTGTGCTAATGCTAATATGCTAATGCTAATATCGAAAGGCCGCAGCAGATTTTCTCCGGGGTAGGTCTGGAATTCTGTTTTTAATTATATTAACTCTAAAACAAAACAGAAATAAGTACAATATTCTTTAATATTATAACGTTGTTATTTATACTTAAGTATTAAATTAAATACATATTTGTATCATGCAGACGAAGTGGGCAGTGTTGATAAGACTGAATTAGGGGAAAAAACGGTTCGTTTATGTCCGTAGAAAAAAGAAAAAGAAAATCCTTTTTTTTATTATTATTAATTATATGATTCATATTATTATAATAATTATAATATGAAAAATTATAACATCCCAGTGTCCCTTCTCTGGACCCTGATGATGTCTGTTGCTGGTGTCTCCTGCAGGTGTTGGGAGGAGCAGTGTCCTCCTGAAGGAGGAGCCAGAGGAACAGGGCATCAAACTGGAGGAGGACCACGTCCCAGTGTGAGTCTGAGACGTTCTAACTGTTCTCACATTGTTCCTCATCAAACAAACCTACAAACGTAACCTTTGATGTGACTCTGTGTACGTAGAGCTGTGATCTGTGATGTGACTCTGTGTACGTTGAGCTGTGATCTGTGATGTGACTGTGTACGTAGAGCCGTAACCTTTGATATGACTCTGTGTACGTAGAGTCGTAACCTTTGATGTGACTCTGTGTACGTAGAGCTGTGATCTGTGATGTGACTCTGTGTACGTAGAGTCGTGTTACTCTATGTACGTAGAGTCGTAACCTTTGATGTGACTCTGTGTACGTAGAGCTGTGATCTGTGATGTGACTCTGTGTACGTAGAGTCGTGTTACTCTATGTACGTAGAGTCGTAACCTTTGATGTGACTCTGTGTACGTAGAGCTGTGATCTGTGATGTGACTCTGTGTACGTAGAGCTGTGATCTGTGATGTGACTCTGTGTACGTAGAGTCGTGTTACTCTGTGTACGTAGAGTCGTAACCTTTGATGTGACTCTGTGTACGTAGAGCCGTAACCTTTGATGTGTGTCTGTGTCCAGCTCGGGGACAGACCTGAACATCGTCTGTGTGAAGACCGAGGGCTGCGACAGCGAAGACTCTGAGCTGTTCTCGGACTGGGACGGAGACGAAGAGCGCACGGCATCCTCTTCAGCCGCGCAGATGGAGACGGACTCTGAGGGCGACCGAGCCTCAGGTCTGTCCGCCCCAGAGACCACAGACAGGGGGCGCTGTCCGTTCTGTGGTGTGGTGTTCGGATCCGAGGGCGAGCTCCAGCGCCACGTCCCGCTGCACACAGGAGAGCGCCTCATCAGCTGCACGCTCTGCCACAAGGAGTTCAGCAAGAAGAGCAATCTGACCGCGCACATGCGGACGCACACGGGCGAGAAACCATACAGCTGTTCCATCTGCGACAAGGCCTTTTCCGAGAAGAGCAATTTCACTGCGCACATGAAAACGCACAAAGGCGACAAACCTTTCAGCTGCTCAGTGTGCGAGAAAACGTTCACGCGGAAGAGTAGCCTGGCGGTGCACATGCGCTCTCACACTGGGGACAAGCCTTACAGCTGTTCAGTCTGCGAGAAAACCTTTGTGAAAATGAGCAACCTGGCAGCGCACATGGGGACGCACACCGGGGACAAACCTTACAGCTGCTCCATCTGCGAAAAGACGTTTGCGCGCAAAGGCAGCGTCGCAGACCACATGCGAATGCACACCGGAGACAAACCTTACAGCTGTCCAGTCTGTCACAACACCTTCACGCGGAAAAGCAGTCTCACGGATCATATGAGGACGCACACGGGAGACAGACCCTTCAGTTGCTCTCACTGCGACAAGACCTTCACGCGCAAAATTAACCTGGTTGTGCACATGCGCAAACACACGGGGGAGCGACCCTTCAGCTGCTCAGTCTGTCAGAGAGAGTTCTCCTTCTCCTCATGCCTGGAGTACCACATGCGGACGCACACCGGCGACAGGCCTTTCAGCTGCTCCTTCTGCAGCGCGCAGTTCACCCAGAGCGCGTACCTGAAGGTTCACCTGAGAGGCCACACGGGGGAGACACCTTACAGCTGCTCAGTGTGTGACGCTCAGTTTTCCACCAACGCCAAACTGAAAAGACACAGGAAGTGTCACACCGCCGCAGGGACGCAGCAGCAGGAAGACCTCAGTTAGACAGACTTCATCATCATCATCATCACTGTTAGAATAACAGATGAATGAGTGAGTGCTTTGGTGACGTTGTGATGTCGCAGTCTTTGATGTTAAAATGAAGCAGTTACTTTTCAAATGGTCACCGTGACAACACAACGTCCGATTAAAAACTTTACAAATGAGAATGTGAACATCAGTTGTAGGGTTTCTACTGTCTCCTCTGTCTCTGCCTCTGTCTCTGTCTCTGTCTCTGTCTCTGCCTGTCTCTGTCTCTGTCTCTGTCTCTGCCTCTGTCTCTGTCTCTGTCTCTGCCTCTGTGTCTGTCTCTGTCTCTGCCTCTGCCTCTGCCTCTGTGTCTGTCTCTGCCTCTGTCTCTGCCTCTGCCTCTGCCTGTCTCTGTCTCTGTCTCTGCCTCTGTCTCTGCCTCTGTCTCTGTCTCTGTCTCTGTCTCTGCCTCTGTCTCTGTCTCTGTCTCTGTCTCTGTCTCTGTGTTTGTCTCTGTGTCTGTGTCTGTCTCTGTCTCTGTGTTTGTCTCTGTCTCTGTCTCTCTCTCTGCCTCTGTCTCTGTCTCTGCCTCTGCCTGTCTCTGTCTCTGTCTCTGTCTCTGCCTCTGTCTCTGCCTCTGTCTCTGTCTCTGCCTCTGTCTCTGTCTCTCTCTGCCTCTGTCTCTGTCTCTCTCTGCCTCTGTCTCTGTCTCTGCCTCTGTCTCTGTCTCTCTCTCTGTCTCTGTCTCTGTCTCTGCCTCTGTCTCTGTCTCTGCCTCTGCCTCTGTCTCTGTCTCTGCCTCTGTCTCTGTCTCTGTCTCTGCCTCTGCCTCTGCCTCTGTCTCTGTCTCTGTCTCTCTCTCTGCCTCTGTCTCTGCCTCTGCCTCTGTCTCTGTCTCTCTCTCTGCCTCTGTCTCTGTCTCTGCCTCCTCTGTCTCTGCCTCTGTGTCTGTCTCTGTCTCTGTGTCTGTCTCTGCCTGTCTCTGTCTCTGTCTCTGCCTGTCTCTGTCTCTGTCTCTGCCTCTGTCTCTCTGTCTCTGTCTCTGTCTCTGCCTGTCTCTGTCTCTGTCTCTGCCTGTCTCTGTCTCTGTCTCTGTCTCTCTGTCTCTGTCTCTGCCTGTCTCTGTCTCTGTCTCTGTCTCTGCCTCTGTCTCTGTCTCTGTCTCTGTCTCTGCCTCTGCCTCTGCCTCTGTCTCTGCCTCTGTCTCTGTCTCTGTCTCTGCCTCTGTGTCTGCCTCTGTCTCTGCCTCTGCCTCTGCCTGTCTCTGTCTCTGCCTCTGTCTCTGCCTCTGTCTCTGTCTCTGCCTCTGTCTCTGTCTCTGCCTCTGTCTCTGTCTCTGTGTTTGTCTCTGTGTCTGTGTCTGTCTCTGTCTCTGTGTTTGTCTCTGTCTCTGTCTCTCTCTCTGCCTCTGTCTCTGTCTCTGCCTCTGCCTGTCTCTGTCTCTGTCTCTGTCTCTGCCTCTGTCTCTGCCTCTGTCTCTGTCTCTGCCTCTGTCTCTGTCTCTGCCTCTGTCTCTGTCTCTGCCTCTGTCTCTGCCTCTGTCTCTGTCTCTGCCTCTGTCTCTGTCTCTGCCTCTGTCTCTGTCTCTGCCTCTGTCTCTGCCTCTGTCTCTGTCTCTGCCTCTGTCTCTGTCTCTGCCTCTGCCTGTCTCTGTCTCTCTCTCTGCCTCTGTCTCTGTCTCTGCCTCTGCCTGTCTCTGTCTCTGTCTCTCTCTCTGCCTCTGTCTCTGTCTCTGCCTCTGCCTGTCTCTGTCTCTGTCTCTGTCTCTGTCTCTGCCTCTGTCTCTGCCTCTGTCTCTGCCTCTGCCTCTGTCTCTGTCTCTGCCTCTGTCTCTGTCTCTGCCTCTGTCTCTGTCTCTCGCTCTGCCTCTGTCTCTGTCTCTGCCTCTGCCTCTGCCTCTGTCTCTGTCTCTCTCTCTGCCTCTGTCTCTCTCTCTGCCTCTGCCTCTGTCTCTGTCTCTGTGGCGGTACCATGTGGTAGTGAAGCAGTACTATGTGGTAGTGATGCAGTTCCATGTGGTAGTGATGCAGTTCCACGTGGTAGTGATGCAGTACCACGTGGTAGTGATGCAGTACCACGTGGTAGTGATGCAGTACCATGTGGTAGTTCCATGTGGTAGTGATACAGTACCATGTGGTAGTGATACAGTACCATGTGAAGCTTCTGTTAATAATAAATTATATAAATAAATGATTCAAACAAGACTCTTATGTGAATCCTTCGGTACACATTAACAGATGTACATTTACATCTGGGCCCCCTGCAGGTAAATGCCAAATGGGACACTTCTGATGGTAAGCAGGGCAGGGCCTGGTTAGTGCTGTGATGGGAGACCTCTGGAACAACAGGTGCCACAGTGGGGCGGCTGCGGCTGCAAAGGGCCAAACTGTGTTGTGTTCTTAGGCAAGACACTTCCCCCACATTAGAATGAGTCTGGTGTGTGTGTGAATGGTTGGTGGTGGTGGGAGGGGCCGATGGCAGAGACTGGTTGCCTCGCTTTTGTCAGTGTGCCCCAGGGCAGCTGTGGCTGCGTGTTTGGAGTGAGAGAATAATAATGTGAAGCTTAGACCAAGCAGATGCATTATTATAATTACTTTTAAAATACATTTATTATTGTATAATGATATGGTATCCTAGCTATGATCGCAAGTAAAAGGAAAGGTCATTGACAGAGGGCACGTCACCAAGCCTTATTTCCCATTATTTACATTCTGAACTGTTTAACAGGACATTTATAACGAGATTACTGAACTTTTAAACTGTACGAATAAGAAGTTCAATACCACGTGTATTTTCAGAAGGACGCCAGACTGCAGCAGTGGTTTCGTACAGTCCCAAGATGGCGGCCACATTTGCATGTGTCACATCCACGGTTGCTATGGCCACTCTAGCGTGCAACCCACTGCGCATGCGCGGCTCAAAACTCCATGTTTTTCGCTCGGGAATCTGTAAAGAAAAAACAACTGAACAACTGTGAATTCTGGGACTAACGTGACTCCTGCCTGCGCTGGTATGCTCCACAGAGACCCGGTCACACCGAGACACTGACACGGGCCTCCCTGGGCCTCCCCCGGGCCTCCCCCGCAGCATCCTGGGACCCTCCCGTATGTGCTAGCTTAGCATTAGCATGGACAGGCGCAGGGACATCAAAGCCTTATTGCCCTTTGTTGTTGTTAGGTTTTTGTGTTTTTTGCGTTGCAGTAGCGCGGGCTCACATTAGAGCTGACTCCCATCTCCTTTAGAGCTGCCCCCGCACACGCACACGCACACGCACAGCTCACAGATAAATGACGTTAGAGCTGGGTTTGGGTTCGCCTTGGTGCAGATGGGACCAGGCGGGTTCTGTCTGGAAAGTTTAGTCTCTGCACAGATTACATACATTTGAGCTGTTCTTCACCTCTGGCCTTTGTCAGTTTCTAAATACATGTTATTAATGTGGAATGGATAAAGTTTATTATCTTTAGTAACATTAGAATTTGGTTAAAGTCTGTGTCTGAGGTCTACAGTGTAAAGTTTATTTCTAACGCCACAAAGATGCACTGATTCAGACTAAACTGTGATAACAGTCTGAGAATAGTGTTTTAATAGTGTTTTAATAGTGTTATTATAGTGTGATAGTGTTGTTATAGTGTGATAGTGTTGTTATAGTAGTGTTGTTATAGTGTGATAGTGTTGTTATAGTGTGATAGTGTTGTTATAGTGTGATAGTGTTGTTATAGTAGTGTTGTTATAGTGTGATAGTGTTGTTATAGTGTGATAGTGTTGTTATAGTGTGATAGTGTTGTTATAGTGTGATAGTGTTGTTATAGTGTGATAGTGTTGTTATAGTGTGATAGTGTTGTTATAGTGTTGTTATAGTGTGATAGTGTTGTTATAGTGTGATAGTGTTATTATAGTGTGATAGTGTTGTTATAGTGTGATAGTGTTGTTATAGTGTGATAGTGTTGTTATAGTGTGATAGTGTTATTATAGTGTGATAGTGTTGTTATAGTGTGATAGTGTTGTTATAGTGTGATAGTGTTGTTATAGTGTGATAGTGTTATTATAGTGTGATAGTGTTGTTATAGTGTGATAGTGTTATTATAGTGTGATAGTGTTATTATAGTGTGATAGTGTTGTTATAGTGTGATAGTGTTGTTATAGTGTGATAGTGTTATTATAGTGTGATAGTGTTGTTATAGTGTGATAGTGTTATAGTGTGATAGTGTTGTTATAGTGTGATAGTGTTATAGTGTGATAGTGTTGTTATTGATAGTGTTGTTATATAGTGTGATAGTGTTGTTATAGTGTGATAGTGTTATTATAGTGTGATAGTGTTGTTGATAGTGTGATAGTGTTGTTATAGTGTGATAGTGTTGTTATAGTGTGATAGTGTTGTTATAGTGTGTGATAGTGTTGTTATAGTGTGATAGTGTGATAGTGTTGTTATAGTGTGATAGTGTTGTTATAGTGTGATAGTGTTGTTATAGTGTATAGTGTGATAGTGTGATAGTGTTGTTATAGTGTTATAGTGTGATAGTGTTGTATAGTGTTGGATAGTGTTGGATAGTGTTGGATAGTGTTGGATAGTGTTGGATAGTGTTGGATAGTGTTGGATAGTGTTGGATAGTGTTGGATAGTGTTGGATAGTGTTGTATAGTGTTGGATAGTGTTGGATAGTGTTGGATAGTGTTGTATAGTGTTGGATAGTGTTGGATAGTGTTGGATAGTGTTGGATAGTGTTGGATAGTGTTGGATAGTGTTGGATAGTGTTGGATAGTGTTGGATAGTGTTGGATAGTGTTGGATTGTGTTGGATTGTGTTGGATTGTGTTGGATTGTGTTGGATTGTGTTGGATAGTGTTGGATAGTGTTGGATAGTGTTGTATAGTGTTGTATAGTGTTGGATAGTGTTGGATAGTGTTGGATAGTGTTGGATAGTGTTGGATTGTGTTGGATAGTGTTGGATAGTGTTGTATAGTGTTGTATAGTGTTGTATAGTGTTGGATAGTGTTGGATAGTGTTGGATAGTGTTGGATAGTGTTGGATAGTGTTGGATTGTGTTGGATTGTGTTGGATTGTGTTGGATAGTGTTGGATTGTGTTGGATTGTGTTGGATTGTGTTGGATAGTGTTGGATAGTGTTGGATAGTGTTGGATAGTGTTGGATAGTGTTGGATAGTGTTGGATAGTGTTGGATAGTGTTGGATAGTGTTGGATAGTGTTGGATAGTGTTGTATAGTGTTGTATAGTGTTGGATAGTGTTGGATTTTGTTGGATTGTGTTGCATAGTGTTGGATAGTGTTGTATAGTGTTGTATAGTGTTGTATAGTGTTGTATAGTGTTGTATAGTGTTGGATAGTGTTGGATAGTGTTGGATAGTGTTGGATAGTGTTGGATAGTGTTGGATAGTGTTGGATAGTGTTGTATAGTGTTGGATAGTGTTGGATAGTGTTGGATAGTGTTGGATAGTGTTGGATTGTGTTGGATAGTGTTGGATAGTGTTGGATAGTGTTGGATAGTGTTGGATAGTGTTGGATAGTGTTGGATAGTGTTGGATAGTGTTGTATAGTGTTGTATAGTGTTGGATAGTGTTGGATAGTGTTGGATAGTGTTGGATTGTGTTGGATAGTGTTGTATAGTGTTGGATAGTGTTGGATAGTGTGATAGTGTTATTATAGTGTGATAGTGTGTTTATAGTGTTGATAGTGTTGTTATAGTGTGATAGTGTTGTTATAGTGTGATAGTGTTGTAATATAGTGTGATAGTGTTGTTATAGTGTGATAGTGTTTTTAGTGTGATAGTGTTGTTATAGTGTTGATAGTGTTGTTATAGTGTGATAGTGTTGTTATAGTGTGATAGTGTTGTTATAGTGTGATAGTGTTGTTATAGTGTGATAGTGTTGTTATAGTGTGATAGTGTTGTTATAGTGTGATAGTGTTGTTATAGTAGTGTGATAGTGTTGTTATAGTGTGATAGTGTTGTTATAGTGTGATAGTGTTGTTATAGTGTGATAGTGTTATGTATAGTGTGATAGTGTTATTATAGTGTGATAGTGTTTTATAGTGTGATAGTGTTGTTATAGTGTGATAGTGTTGTTATAGTGTGATAGTGTTGTTATAGTGTGTTGTTATAGTGTGATAGTGTGATTATAGTGTGATAGTGTTGTTGGATAGTGTTGGATAGTGTTGTATAGTGTTGTATAGTGTTGGATTGTGTTGTATAGTGTTGTATAGTGTTGTATAGTGTTGGATAGTGTTGGATAGTGTTGGATAGTGTTGGATAGTGTTGGATAGTGTTGGATAGTGTTGGATAGTGTTGGATAGTGTTGGATAGTGTTGGATTGTGTTGGATAGTGTTGGATTGTGTTGGATTGTGTTGTATAGTGTTGTATAGTGTTGGATAGTGTTGGATAGTGTTGGATTGTGTTGGATTGTGTTGTATAGTGTTGTATAGTGTTGTATAGTGTTGGATAGTGTTGGATAGTGTTGGATAGTGTTGGATAGTGTTGGATAGTGTTGGATAGTGTTGGATAGTGTTGGATAGTGTTGGATAGTGTTGGATAGTGTTGGATAGTGTTGGATTGTGTTGGATAGTGTTGGATTGTGTTGGATAGTGTTGGATTGTGTTGGATTGTGTTGGATAGTGTTGGATAGTGTTGGATAGTGTTGGATAGTGTTGGATAGTGTTGGATTGTGTTGGATAGTGTTGGATAGTGTTGGATAGTGTTGTATAGTGTTGTATAGTGTTGTATAGTGTTGTATAGTGTTGGATAGTGTTGGATAGTGTTGGATAGTGTTGGATAGTGTTGGATAGTGTTGGATAGTGTTGGATAGTGTTGGATTGTGTTGGATTTTGTTGGATTGTGTTGGATAGTGTTGGATTTTGTTGGATTGTGTTGGATTGGAGAGAGACCAGAGAGAGAGACCAGAGAGAGAACAGAGAGAGACCAGAGAGAGAGACCAGAGAGAGAGACCAGAGAGAGACCAGAGAGAGACCAGAGAGAGAGACCAGAGAGAGACTAGAGAGAGAGACCAGAGAGAGACCAGAGAGAGAGACCAGAGAGAGACCAGAGAGAGACCAGAGAGAGACCAGAGAGAGAGACCAGAGAGAGACCAGAGAGAGAGAGACCAGAGAGAGACCAGAGAGAGAGACCAGAGAGAGACCAGAGAGAGACCAGAGAGAGACTAGAGAGAGACCAGAGAGAGACTAGAGAGAGACCAGAGAGAGACCAGAGAGAGACCAGAGAGAGAGACCAGAGAGAGACCAGAGAGAGAGACCAGAGAGAGACCAGAGAGAGAGACCAGAGAGAGACCAGAGAGAGACCAGAGAGAGAGAACAGAGAGAGACCAGAGAGAGAGACCAGAGAGAGAGACCAGAGAGAGACCAGAGAGAGAGACCAGAGAGAGAGACCAGAGAGAGACCAGAGAGAGACCAGAGAGAGAGACCAGAGAGAGACCAGAGAGAGACCTGAGAGAGACCAGAGAGAGACCAGAGAGAGAGACCAGAGAGAGACCAGAGAGAGACCAGAGAGAGACCAGAGAGAGACCAGAGAGAGACCAGAGAGAGAGACCAGAGAGAGACCAGAGAGAGACCAGAGAGAGAGACCAGAGAGAGACCAGAGAGAGACCAGAGAGGGACCAGAGAGAGACCAGAGAGAGACCAGAGAGAGAGACCAGAGAGAGAGACCAGAGAGAGAGACCAGAGAGGGACCAGAGAGAGAGACCAGAGAGAGACCAGAGAGAGACCAGAGAGAGAGACCAGAGAGAGACCAGAGAGAGACCAGAGAGAGACCAGAGAGAGACCAGAGAGAGAGACCAGAGAGAGACCAGAGAGAGAGACCAGAGAGAGCGACCAGAGAGAGACCAGAGAGAGACTAGAGAGAGACCAGAGAGAGACCAGAGAGAGAGACCAGAGAGAGACCAGAGAGAGACTAGATAGAGACCAGAGAGAGACCAGAGAGAGACCAGAGAGAGAGACCAGAGAGAGACCAGAGAGAGAGACCAGAGAGAGAGACCAGAGAGAGACCAGAGAGAGAGACCAGAGAGAGACCAGAGAGAGACCAGAGAGAGAGACCAGATAGAGACCAGAGAGAGACCAGAGAGAGACCAGAGAGAGACCAGAGAGAGACCAGAGAGAGAGACCAGAGAGAGACCAGAGAGAGACCAGAGAGAGACCAGAGAGAGACCAGAGAGAGAGACCAGAGAGATACCAGAGAGAGAGACCAGAGAGAGAGACCAGAGAGAGACCAGAGAGAGACCAGAGAGAGACCAGAGAGAGACCAGAGAGAGAGAACAGAGAGAGACCAGAGAGAGAGACCAGAGAGAGACCAGAGAGAGACCAGAGAGAGACCAGAGAGAGACCAGAGAGAGCGACCAGAGAGAGACCAGAGAGAGACCAGAGAGAGACCAGAGAGAGACCAGAGAGAGACCAGAGAGAGACCAGAGAGAGACCAGATAGAGACCAGAGAGAGACCAGAGAGAGACCAGAGAGAGACCAGAGAGAGACCAGAGAGAGAGACCAGAGAGAGAGACCAGAGAGAGACCAGAGAGAGACCAGAGAGAGACCAGAGAGAGACCAGAGAGAGACCAGAGAGAGAGACCAGATAGAGACCAGAGAGAGACCAGAGAGAGACCAGAGAGAGACCAGAGAGAGACCAGAGAGAGAGACCAGAGAGAGACAAGAGAGAGAGACCAGAGAGAGACCAGAGAGAGACCAGAGAGAGAGACCAGAGAGATACCAGAGAGAGAGACCAGAGAGAGACCAGAGAGAGACCAGAGAGAGAGAACAGAGAGAGACCAGAGAGAGACCAGAGAGAGAGACCAGAGAGAGACCAGAGAGAGAGACCAGAGAGAGACCAGAGAGAGACCAGAGAGAGAGAACAGAGAGAGACCAGAGAGAGACCAGAGAGAGAGAACAGAGAGAGACCAGAGAGAGAGACCAGAGAGAGACCAGAGAGAGACCAGAGAGAGACCAGAGAGAGACCAGAGAGAGACCAGAGAGAGACCAGAGAGAGACCAGAGAGAGAGACCAGAGAGAGAGACCAGAGAGAGACCAGAGAGAGACCAGAGAGAGAGAACAGAGAGAGACCAGAGAGAGAGACCAGAGAGAGACCAGAGAGAGACCAGAGAGAGAGAACAGAGAGAGAACAGAGAGAGACCAGAGAGAGACCAGAGAGAGACCAGAGAGAGACCAGAGAGAGAGACCAGAGAGAGACCAGAGAGAGACCAGACCGTTGCCGGGTCGCGGGGGCAGCAGTCTAAGCAGAGACGCCCAGACTTCCCTCTCACACACTTCCTGCAGCTTGCCCGACCTCGAGGCGTTCCCAGCTAAGAAGTAAGTAAGTAGTAAGTAATGTTTATTTATATACCGCCTTTTCACTGCAGATCAGAGTCTCAAAGCAGTTTACAATTGTAGGTCCTGGTTCGTTGGAGCCAATAGGACAACATCGTCCGCAAACAGCAGAGATGAAATCCTGTGGTCTCTGAACCGGACCCCCTCCGGCCTCTGGCTGTGGTCTCTGAACCGGACCCCCTCCGGCCCCTGGCTGTGGTCTCTGAACCGGACCCCGGCTCCGGCCCCTGGCTGTGGTCTCTGAACCGGACCCCGGCTCCGGCCCCTGGCTGTGGTCTCTGAACCGGACCCCGGCTACGGCCTCTGGCTGTGGTCTCTGAACCGGACCCCTCCGGCCTCTGGCTGTGGTCTCTGAACCGGACCCCTCCGGCCTCTGGCTGTGGTCTCTGAACCGGACCCCTCCGGCCTCTGGCTGTGGTCTCTGAACCGGACCCCCTCCGGCCTCTGGCTGTGGTCTCTGAACCGGACCCCTCCGGCCTCTGGCTGTGGTCTCTGAACCGGACCCCTCCGGCCTCTGGCTGTGGTCTCTGAACCGGACCCCTCCGGCCTCTGGCTGTGCCTATACAACTTCTGTCCATAAAGTCAGTAATAGTAAGTAATAGTAAGTTAGTAAGTTTTTATTTATATACCGCCTTTTTCACTGCAGATCTGAGTCTCAAAGCGGTTTACAATTGTTAATTTTGGGCATTTGTCTCTCACTCCACACAGAGATGGGAGCGGGACCAGTACAGGAGGCGCATGCTAGAACTATTGGACATATTTTTAGTGGTAGGGGAAACCGGAGTACCCGGAGGAAACCTACGCAGACACGGGGAGAACATGCAAACTCCACTCAGAAAGGCCCTGGTCTGACCGGGATTCGAACCCAGGACCTTCTTGCTGAGAGGCGAGAGTGCTATCCACTCAGCCACCGTGCCGCCAAAGGGCAGCCCTGGTGGAGGCCAACACCGGGATCAGACTTACTGCTGATGCGAACACAGCTCTGGCTCCGGTCGTACAGGGACCAGACGGCCCTCAGCAGAGGACCCCGGACCCCGTACTCCCGGAGAACCCCCCAAAGGACACCCCGGGGAACACAGTCGAACGCCTTCTATACACGTAATAAACACAAACAGATTCTTTCTAAAGTTTATTATATTTTTCTACGACACTTTGCACGAACAGTTGACAGCAGTGGATACAGTTTCCATGACAACGTTAGCGCTACAGAGAAAACAACAGCGGAGCTCATGGGCCGCTAGCGTGTTAGCAAGGAGCTTCTGTCTTATGTAGTTCTCGTTAGCATGCTCCTTCTATTAGCATGTAGCTCTCGTTTGTATGTAGCTTCCACTAGCATGAAACCCCAGTTAGCATGTAGCTCCTTTAGCATGAAGCTCCCATTAGCATGTAGCTCCCGTTAGCATGTAGCATCGTTAGCATGGTCCTCACAGGGTTAACAATATGATGCGAATGAGTTTGAACGTTAGGATCAATGTTTGTTTGGGAAACGTGTGATAAGTGACTTTTTAAAGTTTTTAAAGTGTTTAAAGTTATATTTACATTTGTCTCGTGGAAAACACAAACATCAGTAACTCTCAACAGTTAAAGATTCCTCTGATTCAGCCCTGAGATACTTTACACAAATTAAAACATATATAAATTAGGGCTGTCAAACGATTGAATGTTTTAGTCGATTAATCGCAGAGAAACTGTGAATTAATTCACCATTACATATATATATACATATATATATATATATATATATATATATATATATATATATATATATATATATATATATATATATATATATATATATATATATATATATATATATATATATATATATATATATATATATATATATATATATATATATATATATATATATATATATATATATATATATATATATATATATATATATATATATATATATATATATAGTATATATATATATATATATATATATATTTTTTTTTTTAAAAATATTAAAATATTTTTTGAAAAATGTAATTACCGTCAGTTAACACAATAATTTTGACAGCCCTAAAATAAATATAATGAAACCAACAAATACATTTCTACAGACTCAAACTTAAACATGTTTATTATTATTATTATTATTTATTTATTTATTTATTTTTATTATTATTATTATTACTATTATTACGATTATTATTATTATTATTATTATAGAAAGAAAACATTTTTACTTTGGTTCAATCCCAAACAAAATGGCCGCCGCCCATCCTGATTGGCTAGTCAGGTTCCTCGGTCCTGATTGGCTGGTCAGGTTCCTCGGTCCTGATTGGCTGGTCAGGTTCCTCGGTCCTGATTGGCTGGTCAGGTTCCTCGGTCCTGATTGGCTGGTCAGGTTCCTCTGTCCTGATTGGCTGGTCAGGTTCCTCGGTCCTGATTGGCTGGTCAGGTTCCTCGGTCCTGATTGGCTGGTCAGGTTCCTCTGTCCTGATTGGCTGGTCAGGTTTCTCTGTCCTGATTGGCTGGTCAGGTTCCTCTGTCCTGATTGGCTGGTCAGGTTCCTCTGTCCTGATTGGCTGGTCAGGTTCCTCTGTCCTGATTGGCTGGTCAGGTTTCTCTGTCCTGATTGGCTGGTCAGGACTTACAAAGAGGAAGTAAACTTTCTGCTCAAACTTAAAAGTTTAAGTTTGTAACTTTCAACACGACCTTCGACCTTTCTTAGTTTAAAGAAATTATTCACTTTTCATTTGTTTCTTTTGTTCATTATTTAATAAAGTTATTTATTTATGGTGAGTTTATGGAACATTCACATCTTTGAGGTTTATTTTAATAAAAAAAAATTTTTAGGATTAGGGTTAATATTAAATTATTAATATAACAATTAATAATTAATAATAATTGAATAAAGATGGACGTCGCTGACGCAGGTTTAGTTTTTTTCTGATGTTTAAAGTCCACATAAATAAAAGATTATAATAAAATATAAATATTTAAATAAAGAATGTTACAAAGTTCAAAATGAAACGATCAAAAAAAACAATAAATTATGAAAATAAAATAGATACTTTTTAAATAAATATAAATAAATATAAATTAGAGCTAAATCTTATGGATTTAACAATAATTTACTCTGAGCTTTTTGCAAAGGTCACACATCACACACTCCTGGTCCCTGTGATCAGTTATTGATCCCTGTGATCAGTTATTGATCCCTGTGATCAGTTATTGATCCCTGTGATCAGTTATTGATCCCTGTGATCAGTTATTGATCCCTGTGATCAGTTATTGATCCCTGTGATCTAAAGTGTTTCAGTTTCATGCAGAGGACCTCGTGCAGCGCGAGCTTCTGTTACGTCTGATTTCTGGAGGAGGAATGTGCTCCGCGAGAGACAGAGGCTGGTCCAAAGTACTGTTATTTACAACGAGAGCAGACAGGATTGGGACTGGGACTGGGACTAAGACTGGGGACTAGGACTAGGACTGGGGATTTGGACTAGGACTGGGGATTTGGGACTGGGACTGGGGATTAGGACTAGGACTGGGGATTTGGGACTGGGACTGGGGATTAGGACTAGGACTGGGGATTTGGGACTGGGACTGAAACTGGGTCTGGGAGCAGGAATCAGGCGGGATTACGTTTCCCAAACAAAGGCTATGTGAGCTTGTGTGATTGGACAGACGCTGGAAGGGGGCGGAGCATGCAGAATAGGGGTGGAGTCCAGGCGGGAACAGTCCTCGGTCAAAATCTGCAAGAAAAGAAACAAAAACAGGAAGTCAGAGAAAAACAGTATTTTTACAAAGTTGGTTTAAAGTTCAGGAAGATTCATCTAAAAGTCAGCGATGGTTTTACCTCCATCTTCCTACGACTGGTCTGACAGCGCCCTCTGCTGGTGTGTGTCTGACAGCGCCCTCTGCTGGTGTGTGTCTGACAGGGCCCTCTGCTGGTGTGTGTCTGACAGCGCCCTCTGCTGGTGTGTGTCTGACAGCGCCCTCTGCTGGTGTGTGTCTGACAGCGCCCTCTGCTGGTGTGTGTCTGACAGCGCCCTCTGCTGGTGTGTGTCTGACAGCGCCCTCTGCTGGTGTGTGTCTGACAGCGCCCTCTGCTGGTGTGTGTCTGACAGGGCCCTCTGCTGGTGTGTGTCTGACAGCGCCCTCTGCTGGTGTGTGTCTGACAGTGCCCTCTGCTGGTGTGTGTCTGACAGTGCCCTCTGCTGGTGTGTGTCTGACAGCGCCCCCTGCTGGTGTGTGTCTGACAGCGCCCTCTGCTGGTGTGTGTCTGACAGCGCCCTCTGCTGGTGTGTGTCTGACAGCGCCCTCTGCTGGTGTGTGTCTGACAGCGCCCTCTGCTGGTGTGTGTCTGACAGCGCCCCCTGCTGGTGTGTGTCTGACAGCTCCCTCTGCTGGTGTGTGTCTGACAGCGCCCTCTGCTGGTGTGTGTCTGACAGTGCCCTCTGCTGGTGTGTGTTCTGCTGGTGTGTGTCTGACAGCGCCCCCTGCTGGTGTGTGTTCTGCTGGTGTGTGTTCTGCTGGTGTGTGTTCTGCTGGTGTGTGTCTGACAGCGCCCCCTGCTGGTGTGTGTTCTGCTGGTGTGTGTTCTGCTGGTGTGTGTCTGACAGCGCCCCCTGCTGGTGTGTGTTCTGCTGGTGTGTATTCTGCTGGTGTGTGTTCTGCTGGTGTGTGTTCTGCTGGTGTGTGTTCTGCTGGTGTGTGTCTGACAGCGCCCTCTGCTGGTGTGTGTCTGACAGCGCCCTCTGCTGGTGTGTGTCTGACAGCGCCCTCTGCTGGTGTGTGTCTGACAGCGCCCCCTGCTGGTGTGTGTCTGACAGCGCCCTCTGCTGGTGTGTGTCTGACAGCGCCCTCTGCTGGTGTGTGTCTGACAGCGCCCTCTGCTGGTGTGTGTATATTCACTCTTCATCATGTTGTGGCTTTAGTTCCTCTTCTCTTCCTCACTGTTGTGTGGTTTGGGCTGTTTTGTTGTGTCTGCAGTTACAACCAGAGGAGTTATAGCCACTTATGCTAACATGCTACTGTGGTTAGCAGCGCTGTAGGCACATGTGTGTGTGATCGTGTTGGTCTCTGCACATGTGTGTGTGATCGTGTTGGTCTCTGCACATGTGTGTGTGATCGTGTTGGTCTCTGCACATGTGTGTGATGGTGTTGGTCTCTGCACATGTGTGTGTGATGGTGTTGGTCTCTGCACATGTGTGTGTGATGGTGTTGGTCTCTGCACATGTGTGTGTGATCGTGTTGGTCTCTGCACATGTGTGTGTGATCGTGTTGGTCACTGCACATGTGTGTGTGATCGTGTTGGTCTCTGCACATGTGTGTGTGATCGTGTTGGTCTCTGGACATGTGTGTGTGATCGTGTTGGTCTCTGCACATGTGTGTGTGATCGTGTTGGTCTCTGCACATGTGTGTGATCGTGTTGGTCTCTGCACATGTGTGTGTGATCGTGTTGGTCTCTGCACATGTGTGTGATCGTGTTGGTCTCTGCACATGTGTGTGATCGTGTTGGTCTCTGCACATGTGTGTGTGATCGTGTTGGTCACTGCACATGTGTGTGATCGTGTTGGTCTCTGCACATGTGTGTGATCGTGTTGGTCTCTGCACATGTGTGTGATCGTGTTGGTCTCTGCACATGTGTGTGTGATCGTGTTGGTCTCTGCACATGTGTGTGATCGTGTTGGTCACTGCACATGTGTGTGATAGTGTTGGTCTCTGCACATGTGTGTGATCGTGTTGGTCTCTGCACATGTGTGTGATTGTGTTGGTCTCTGCACATGTGTGTGATCGTGTTGGTCTCTGCACATGTGTGTGATGGTGTTGGTCACTGCACATGTGTGTGATTGTGTTGGTCACTGCACATGTGTGTGATGGTGTTGGTCTCTGCACATGTGTGTGTGATGGTGTTGGTCTCTGCACATGTGTGTGATCGTGTTGGTCTCTGCACATGTGTGTGATTGTGTTGGTCTCTGCACATGTGTGTGTGATCGTGTTGGTCACTGCACATGTGTGTGATTGTGTTGGTCACTGCACATGTGTGTGATCGTGTTGGTCACTGCACATGTGTGTGTGATCGTGTTGGTCTCTGCACATGTGTGTGTGATCGTGTTGGTCTCTGCACATGTGTGTGATGGTGTTGGTCTCTGCACATGTGTGTGATCGTGTTGGTCTCTGCACATGTGTGTGATCGTGTTGGTCACTGCACATGTGTGTGATCGTGTTGGTCTCTGCACATGTGTGTGATGGTGTTGGTCTCTGCACATGTGTGTGATGGTGTTGGTCACTGCACATGTGTGTGATCGTGTTGGTCTCTGCACATGTGTGTGATCGTGTTGGTCTCTGCACATGTGTGTGATTGTGTTGGTCTCTGCACATGTGTGTGTGATCATGTTGGTCACTGCACATGTGTGTGATTGTGTTGGTCACTGCACATGTGTGTGATCGTGTTGGTCACTGCACATGTGTGTGTGATCGTGTTGGTCACTGCACATGTGTGTGATGGTGTTGGTCTCTGCACATGTGTGTGATCGTGTTGGTCTCTGCACATGTGTGTGATCGTGTTGGTCTCTGCACATGTGTGTGATTGTGTTGGTCTCTGCACATGTGTGTGCGATCGTGTTGGTCACTGCACATGTGTGTGATTGTGTTGGTCTCTGCACATGTGTGTGTGATGGTGTTGGTCTCTGCACATGTGTGTGATAGTGTTGGTCTCTGCACATGTGTGTGATTGTGTTGGTCTCTGCACATGTGTGTGATGGTGTTGGTCTCTGCACATGTGTGTGATCGTGTTGGTCTCTGCACATGTGTGTGATGGTGTTGGTCTCTGCACATGTTTGTGTGATGGTGTTGGTCTCTGCACATATGTGTGATCGTGTTGGTCTCTGCACATGTGTGTGTGATGGTGTTGGTCACTGCACATGTGTGTGATTGTGTTGGTCACTGCACATGTGTGTGATCGTGTTGGTCTCTGCACATGTGTGTGATCGTGTTGGTCACTGCACATGTGTGTGATTGTGTTGGTCTCTGCACATGTGTGTGTGATCGTGTTGGTCACTGCACATGTGTGTGATGGTGTTGGTCTCTGCACATGTGTGTGATGGTGTTGGTCTCTGCACATGTGTGTGATCGTGTTGGTCTCTGCACATGTGTGTGATTGTGTTGGTCTCTGCACATGTGTGTGATCGTGTTGGTCTCTGCACATGTGTGTGATCGTGTTGGTCTCTGCACATGTGTGTGATCGTGTTGGTCACTGCACATGTGTGTGATCGTGTTGGTCTCTGCACATGTGTGTGATCGTGTTGGTCTCTGCACATGTGTGTGTGATCGTGTTGGTCTCTGCACATGTGTGTGATCGTGTTGGTCTCTGCACATGTGTGTGTGATCGTGTTGGTCTCTGCACATGTGTGTGATCGTGTTGGTCTCTGCACATGTGTGTGATGTGTTGGTCTCTGCACATGTGTGTGTGATCGTGTTGGTCTCTGCACATGTGTGTGATGTGTTGGTCTCTGCACATGTGTGTGTGATGTGTGTTGGTCTCTGCACATGTGTGTGTGATCGTGTTGGTCTCTGCACATGTGTGTGATCGTGTTGGTCTCTGCACATGTGTGTGTGATCGTGTTGGTCTCTGCACATGTGTGTGTGATCGTGTTGGTCTCTGCACATGTGTGTGATCGTGTTGGTCTCTGCACATGTGTGTGATCGTGTTGGTCTCTGCACATGTGTGTGATTGTGTTGGTCTCTGCACATGTGTGTGATCGTGTTGGTCTCTGCACATGTGTGTGATGGTGTTGGTCTCTGCACATGTGTGTGATCGTGTTGGTCTCTGCACATGTGTGTGATCGTGTTGGTCCTGCACATGTGTGTGTGATGGTGTTGGTCTCTGCACATGTGTGTGATCGTGTTGGTCTCTGCACATGTGTGTGATGGTGTTGGTCACTGCACATGTGTGTGATCGTGTTGGTCACTGCACATGTGTGTGTGATGGTGTTGGTCTCTGCACATGTGTGTGTGATCGTGTTGGTCTCTGCACATGTGTGTGATCGTGTTGGTCACTGCACATGTGTGTGATCGTGTTGGTCTCTGCACATGTGTGTGATCGTGTTGGTCTCTGCACATGTGTGTGTGATCGTGTTGGTCTCTGCACATGTGTGTGTGATCGTGTTGGTCTCTGCACATGTGTGTGATGGTGTTGGTCACTGCACATGTGTGTGATCGTGTTGGTCTCTGCACATGTGTGTGATCGTGTTGGTCACTGCACATGTGTGTGATCGTGTTGGTCTCTGCACATGTGTGTGATGGTGTTGGTCTCTGCACATGTGTGTGATGGTGTTGGTCACTGCACATGTGTGTGTGATCGTGTTGGTCTCTGCACATGTGTGTGATGGTGTTGGTCACTGCACATGTGTGTGTGATCGTGTTGGTCACTGCACATGTGTGTGTGATCGTGTTGGTCTCTGCACATGTGTGTGATCGTGTTGGTCTCTGCACATGTGTGTGATGGTGTTGGTCTCTGCACATGTGTGTGATCGTGTTGGTCACTGCACATGTGTGTGATGGTGTTGGTCTCTGCACATGTGTGTGATCGTGTTGGTCTCTGCACATGTGTGTGATGGTGTTGGTCTCTGCACATGTGTGTGATCGTGTTGGTCTCTGCACATGTGTGTGATCGTGTTGGTCACTGCACATGTGTGTGATCGTGTTGGTCACTGCACATGTGTGTGATCGTGTTGGTCTCTGCACATGTGTGTGTGATGGTGTTGGTCTCTGCACCATGTGTGTGATCGTGTTGGTCTCTGCACATGTGTGTGTGATCGTGTTGGTCTCTGCACAGTGTGTGTGATCGTGTTGGTCTCTGCACATGTGTGTGTGATCGTGTTGGTCTCTGCACATGTGTGTGTGATCGTGTTGGTCTCTGCACATGTGTGTGTGATCGTGTTGGTCTCTGCACATGTGTGTGATCGTGTTGGTCACTGCACATGTGTGTGTGATCGTGTTGGTCACTGCACATGTGTGTGTGATTGTGTTGGTCTCTGCACATGTGTGTGATCGTGTTGGTCACTGCACATGTGTGTGATGGTGTTGGTCTCTGCACATGTGTGTGTGATGGTGTTGGTCTCTGCACATGCGTGTGATCGTGTTGGTCTCTGCACATGTGTGTGTGATCGTGTTGGTGTCTGCACATGTGTGTGATCGTGTTGGTCTCTGCACATGTGTGTGATCGTGTTGGTCTCTGCACATGTGTGTGATGGTGTTGGTCACTGCACATGTGTGTGTGATCGTGTTGGTCACTGCACATGTGTGTGTGATCGTGTTGGTCACTGCACATGTGTGTGTGATCGTGTTGGTCACTGCACATGTGTGTGATCGTGTTGGTCTCTGCACATGTGTGTGATCGTGTTGGTCTCTGCACATGTGTGTGATGGTGTTGGTCTCTGCACATGTGTGTGATCGTGTTGGTCTCTGCACATGTGTGTGATCGTGTTGGTCTCTGCACCGGTGTGTGATGGTGTTGGTCTCTGCACATGTGTGTGATGGTGTTGGTCTCTGCACATGTCTGTGATCGTGTTGGTCTCTGCACATGTGTGTGTGATCGTGTTGGTCTCTGCACATGTGTGTGTGATCGTGTTGGTCTCTGCACATGTGTGTGTGATGGTGTTGGTCTCTGCACATGTGTGTGTGATCGTGTTGGTCTCTGCACATGTGTGTGTGATCGTGTTGGTCACTGCACATGTGTGTGTGATCGTGTTGGTCTCTGCACATGTGTGTGATGGTGTTGGTCTCTGCACATGTGTGTGTGATCGTGTTGGTCTCTGCACATGTGTGTGATCGTGTTGGTCTCTGCACCATGTGTGTGATCGTGTTGGTCTCTGCACATGTGTGTGATGGTGTTGGTCTCTGCACATGTGTGTGTGATCGTGTTGGTCTCTGCACATGTGTGTGATCGTGTTGGTCTCTGCACATGTGTGTGATGGTGTTGGTCTCTGCACATGTGTGTGATGGTGTTGGTCACTGCACATGTGTGTGTGATCGTGTTGGTCTCTGCACATGTGTGTGATTGTGTTGGTCTCTGCACATGTGTGTGATCGTGTTGGTCTCTGCACATGTGTGTGTGATGGTGTTGGTCTCTGCACATGTGTGTGATGGTGTTGGTCTCTGCACATGTGTGTGTGATGGTGTTGGTCACTGCACTTGTGTGTGTGATCGTGTTGGTCTCTGCACATGTGTGTGTGATGGTGTTGGTCTCTGCACATGTGTGTGATGGTGTTGGTCACTGCACATGTGTGTGTGATTGTGTTGGTCTCTGCACATGTGTGTGATGGTGTTGGTCTCTGCACATGTGTGTGATCGTGTTGGTCTCTGCACATGTGTGTGTGATCGTGTTGGTCTCTGCACATGTGTGTGATCGTGTTGGTCTCTGCACATGTGTGTGATGGTGTTGGTCTCTGCACATGTGTGTGATGGTGTTGGTCTCTGCACATGTGTGTGATCGTGTTGGTCACTGCACATGTGTGTGTGATGGTGTTGGTCTCTGCACATGTATGTGTGATGGTGTTGGTCTCTGCACATGTGTGTGATCGTGTTGGTCTCTGCACATGTGTGTGATCGTGTTGGTCACTGCACATGTGTGTGTGATGGTGTTGGTCTCTGCACATGTGTGTGATCGTGTTGGTCTCTGCACATGTGTGTGATTGTGTTGGTCACTGCACATGTGTGTGATCGTGTTGGTCACTGCACATGTGTGTGATCGTGTTGGTCTCTGCACATGTGTGTGTGATCGTGTTGGTCTCTGCACATGTGTGTGATGGTGTTGGTCTCTGCACATGTGTGTGATCGTGTTGGTCTCTGCACATGTGTGTGATTGTGTTGGTCATTGCACATGTGTGTGTGATGGTGTTGGTCACTGCACTTGTGTGTGATCGTGTTGGTCTCTGCACATGTGTGTGTGATGGTGTTGGTCACTGCACTTGTGTGTGATCGTGTTGGTCACTGCACATGTGTGTGATCGTGTTGGTCACTGCACATGTGTGTGATCGTGTTGGTCTCTGCACATGTGTGTGATGGTGTTGGTCTCTGCACATGTGTGTGATCGTGTTGGTCTCTGCACATGTGTGTGATCGTGTTGGTCTCTGCACATGTGTGTGATCGTGTTGGTCACTGCACATGTGTGTGATCGTGTTGGTCTCTGCACATGTGTGTGTGATCGTGTTGGTCACTGCACATGTGTGTGATCGTGTTGGTCTCTGCACATGTGTGTGATTGTGTTGGTCACTGCACATGTGTGTGTGATGGTGTTGGTCACTGCACATGTGTGTGATCGTGTTGGTCTCTGCACATGTGTGTGTGATCGTGTTGGTCTCTGCACATGTGTGTTATCGTGTTGGTCTCTGCACATGTGTGTGTGATCGTGTTCGTCTCTGCACATGTGTGTGATTGTGTTGGTCTCTGCACATGTGTGTGTGATGGTGTTGGTCTCTGCACATGTGTGTGATGGTGTTGGTCTCTGCACATGTGTGTGTGATGGTGTTGGTCTCTGAACATGTGTGTGATCGTGTTGGTCTCTGCACATGTGTGTGTGATTGTGTTGGTCACTGCACATGTGTGTGATCGTGTTGGTCACTGCACATGTGTGTGTGATTGTGTTGGTCACTGCACATGTGTGTGTGATTGTGTTGGTCACTGCACATGTGTGTGATTGTGTTGGTCACTGCACATGTGTGTGTGATTGTGTTGGTCACTGCACATGTGTGTGTGATGGTGTTGGTCTCTGCACATGTGTGTGATGGTGTTGGTCACTGCACATGTGTGTGATGGTGTTGGTCTCTGCACATGTGTGTGATCGTGTTGGTCTCTGCACATGTGTGTGATCGTGTTGGTCACTGCACATGTGTGTGTGATGGTGTTGGTCTCTGCACATGTGTGTGATCGTGTTGGTCTCTGCACATGTGTGTGATCGTGTTGGTCTCTGCACATGTGTGTGTGATCGTGTTGGTCTCTGCACATGTGTGTGATCGTGTTGGTCTCTGCACATGTGTGTGATCGTGTTGGTCTCTGCACATGTGTGTGTGATGGTGTTGGTCTCTGCACATGTGTGTGTGATCGTGTTCGTCTCTGCACATGTGTGTGATCGTGTTGGTCTCTGCACATGTGTGTGATCGTGTTGGTCTCTGCACATGTGTGTGTGATGGTGTTGGTCTCTGCACATGTGTGTGATGGTGTTGGTCTCTGCACATGTGTGTGATCGTGTTGGTCTCTGCACATGTGTGTGTGATCGTGTTGGTCACTGCACATGTGTGTGATCGTGTTGGTCTCTGCACATGTGTGTGATCGTGTTGGTCTCTGCACATGTGTGTGATCGTGTTGGTCTCTGCACATGTGTGTGATCGTGTTGGTCTCTGCACATGTGTGTGATGGTGTTGGTCTCTGCACATGTGTGTGATGGTGTTGGTCACTGCACATGTGTGTGATCGTGTTGGTCTCTGCACATGTGTGTGATGGTGTTGGTCTCTGCACATGTGTGTGATGGTGTTGGTCTCTGCACATGTGTGTGATGGTGTTGGTCTCTGCACATGTGTGTGATCGTGTTGGTCTCTGCACATGTGTGTGATCGTGTTGGTCTCTGCACATGTGTGTGATTGTGTTGGTCTCTGCACATGTGTGTGTGATTGTGTTGGTCTCTGCACATGTGTGTGTGATTGTGTTGGTCTCTGCACATGTGTGTGATCGTGTTGGTCTCTGCACATGTGTGTGATTGTGTTGGTCTCTGCACATGTGTGTGTGATTGTGTTGGTCTCTGCACATGTGTGTGTGATCGTGTTGGTCACTGCACATGTGTGTAATCGTGTTGGTCACTGCACATGTGTGTGATGGTGTTGGTCTCTGCACATGTGTGTGATCGTGTTGGTCTCTGCACATGTGTGTGATTGTGTTGGTCACTGCACATGTGTGTTCATGGTGTTGGTCTCTGCACATGTGTGTGATCGTGTTGGTCTCTGCACATGTGTGTGATTGTGTTGGTCACTGCACATGTGTGTGATGGTGTTGGAGCTTAGATTATTTAAATACATTTTACTTGTGTTTTAACATTGGTAGAATATAGACTAATTCTATAATTGAAGTAACTGTTACAGTTACTATTTAATACCCCTTTTTTAAATGATTAAATCATGTTTTGTGCACAATTTTAAATAACAAAAGTAAGTAAACACAGTTTCTTAATTTAACAATGTAGGGATTATGTAGTTTTATAGAATAACATTTAGTACACCCAAAATTCATTTTATCAGTGCAGTGACATCACAGTGACATCACAGTGACATCACAGTGACATCACAGTGACTTCACAGTGACATCACAGTGACTTCACAGTGACATCACAGTAACATCACAGGGACATCACAGTGACATCACAGTGACATCACAGTCAAAGCGGTGACATCACAGTGACATCACAGTCAAAGCAGTGACATCACAGTGACTTCACAGGGACATCACAGTGACATCACAGTAACATCACAGGGACATCACAGTGACATCACAGTGACATCACAGTCAAAGCGGTGACATCACAGTGACATCACAGTCAAAGCAGTGACATCACAGTGACTTCACAGTGACATCACAGTGACATCACAGTGACATCACAGTGACTTCACAGGGACATCACAGTGACATCACAGTAACATCACAGTAACATCACAGTAACATCACAGTGACATCACAGTAACATCACAGTGACATCACAGTGACATCACAGTGACATCACAGTGACTTCACAGTGACATCACAGGGACATCACAGTGACATCACAGTGACTTGACAGTGACATCACAGGGACATCACAGTGACATCACAGTAACATCACAGTAACATCACAGGGACATCACAGTGACATCACAGTGACATCACAGTCAAAGCGGTGACATCACAGTGACATCACAGTCAAAGCAGTGACATCACAGTGACTTCACAGTGACATCACAGTGACATCACAGTCAAAGCGGTGACATCACAGGGACATCACAGTGACATCACAGTGACTTCACAGTCAAAGCAGTGACATCACAGTGACATCACAGTCAAAGCGGTGACATCACAGTGACATCACAGTCAAAGCGGTGACATCACAGGGACATCACAGTGACTTCACAGTCAAAGCGGTGACATCACAGTGACATCACAGTGACATCACAGTCAAAGCGGTGACATCACAGTGACTTTACAGTCAAAGCAGTGACATCACAGTCAAAGCGGTGACATCACAGTGACATCACAGTCAAAGCGGTGACATCACAGGGACATCACAGTGACTTCACAGTCAAAGTGGTGACATCACAGTGACATCACAGTCAAAGCGGTGACATCACAGTGACTTTACAGTCAAAGCGGTGACATCACAGTGACATCACAGTGACATCACAGTGACATCACAGTGACATCACAGTGACATCACAGTCAAAGCGGTGACATCACAGTGACATCACAGTGACATCACAGTGACATCACAGGGACAGCGGTGACATCACAGGGACAGCGGTGACATCACTCACCTTGCACTAACTGGCGGCGGCCTCCTGCTGAATCAGGAAGTGTCGGTTTGAGTCGTCCTGACTCCCACAATGCACCTCAGGCCTGCACACACATGGGTCATCTTTATTTATGTAGCACCATCTTCATCATCATCATCATCATCATCACACTTCATCATCATCACAGAGTCACACACTTCATCATCATCTTCATCATCATCTTCATCATCATCATCATCACAGAGTCACACACTTCATCTTCATCATCATCTTCATCATCACAGAGTCACACACTTCATCTTCATCTTCATCTTCATCATCATCACAGAGTCACACACTTCATCATCATCTTCATCATCATCACAGAGTCACACACTTCATCTTCATCATCCTCATCATCATCTTCATCATCTGTCATGGGTTTGGGTTATTTCCTGTTTTGTATTTTGTTTACACCTGTTTCATTAGTTCTACTTCCTGTTGTGATGTCATCGTGTTGTTTGCTAACATGCTAACATGCTAACATGCTAACAGTTTCCTTCAGCTGCTCTGAACACCTTTAATGATCTTGTATTGAACTGTTTCTGTTTCTCTGAGCATCTGTTTTCAGGCTGTCTCTGGGCACATGTTTCCAATGGGGTTTTACTGCAGATGGAAAATAAGACAGCTCCAGTCTGAGTCTCGTGTCGCTCACCTGTTGTCATTGATGTCACGTGTGTCTGTGATGTCACGTGTGTCTGTGATGTCACGTGTGATGGTGTTTCCTGTAGGACAGAGGACAGGGTTCAGTGGACTCTCCATTAACCTCAGGTTTAATGTAGAATTATGGGTCAGGGTCTCCATCGCTACATTAGCTTCATCGCTATGTTAGCTTCATCGCTACGTTAGCTTCATCGCTATGTTAGCCTCATCGCTACGTTAGCTTCATCGCTATGTTAGCCTCATCGCTACGTTAGCTTCATCGCTATGTTAGCCTCATCGCTACGTTAGCTTCATCGCTATGTTAGCCTCATCGCTACGTTAGCTTCATCGCTATGTTAGCTTCATCGCTACATTAGCTTCATCGCTATGTTAGCCTCATCGCTACGTTAGCTTCATCGCTATGTTAGCTTCATTGCTACATTAGCTTCATCGCTATGTTAGCCTCATCGCTACGTTAGCTTCATCGCTATGTTAGCTTCATTGCTATGTTAGCTTCATTGCTATGTTAGCTTCATCGCTACATTAGCCTCATTGCTACATTAGCCTCATTGCTACGTTAGCCTCATTGCTACATTAGCCTCATTGCTACATTAGCCTCATTGCTACGTTAGCCTCATTGCTACGTTAGCCTCATTGCTACGTTAGCCTCATTGCTACGTTAGCCTCATTGCTACGTTAGCCTCATTGCTACGTTAGCCTCATTGCTACGTTAGCCTCATTGCTACGTTAGCCTCATTGCTACGTTAGCCTCATTGCTACGTTAGCCTCATTGCTACGTTAGCCTCATACTCAGTAATGTTTGTAAAGTCTGCACCGTTGTCGATGTTCAGAGGAAACGACTCCAGGACGTCTCCAGTGTATCTGCCTGCTCTGTATCCAAGAGCTGTGGAGACACTGGGGAGGGGGGGAGGAGGGGGAGGAGAGGGGGGGGAGGGAGAGGGGGAGGAGGGAGAGGGGGGAGGAGGGGGAGGAGAGGGGGGGGGAGGAGAGGGGGAGGAGGGAGAGGGGGGAGGAGGGGGGGGGAGGAGGGGGAGGAGGGGGAGGAGAGGGGGGGGGGAGGAGAGGGGGGGGAGGAGAGGGGGAGGAGGGGGAGGAGGGGGAGGAGGGAGAGGGGAGGGAGAGGGGGAGGAGGGGGAGGAGAGGGGGGGGAGGAGAGGGGGGGAGGAGAGGGGGGGAGGAGAGGGGGAGGAGGGGGAGGAGGGGGAGGAGGGAGAGGGGGAGGAGAGGGGGGGAGGAGAGGGGGGGAGGAGAGGGGGGGGGGAGGGAGAGGAGAGGGGGGGGGAGGGGGAGGAGAGGGGGGGAGGAGAGGGGGGGAGGAGAGGGGGGGAGGAGAGGGGGGGGGGGGGAGAGGAGAGGGGGGGGAGGGAGAGGGGGGGGAGGAGAGAGGGGGGGGAGGAGAGGGGGGGGGGAGGGGGAGGAGGGGGGGGAGGAGGGGGAGGAGGGGGAGGAGGGAGAGGTGGAGGAGGGGGGGGGGGAGGAGGGGGAGGAGAGGGGGGGGAGGAGGGGGAGGAGGGGGAGGGGGGGGGGGAGAGGGGGGGGAGGAGGGGGAGGGGGGGGGGAGGAGGGGGGGAGGGGGGGGGGGAGGAGGGGGAGGAGGGGGAGGAGAGGGGGGGGAGGGAGAGGGGGGGGGGAGGAGAGAGGGGGGGAGGAGGGGGAGGAGGGGGGGGGGGAGGAGGGGGAGGAGGGGGAGGAGGGGGAGGAGGGAGAGGGGGGGAGGAGGGAGAGGGGGAGGAGGGGGAGGAGAGGGGGGGGGAGGGAGAGGAGGGAGAGGAGAGAGGGGGGGAGGAGGGGGAGGAGGGGGAGGAGGGGGAGGAGAGGGGGGGGAGGGAGAGGAGGGAGAGGAGAGAGGGGGGGAGGAGGGGGAGGAGAGAGGGGGAGGAGAGGGGGGGAGGAGGGAGAGGGGGAGGAGGGGGAGGAGAGGGGGGGGGAGGGAGAGGAGGGAGAGGAGAGAGGGGGGGAGGAGGGGGAGGAGGGGGGGGGAGGAGGGGGAGGAGGGGGAGGAGAGGGGGGGAGGAGGGGGAGGAGGGGGAGGAGGGAGAGGGGGAGGAGGGAGAGGAGGGGGAGGAGAGAGAGGGGGAGGAGGGGGAGGAGAGAGAGGGGGAGGAGGGAGAGGAGAGAGGGAGAGGGGGGGGAGGGGGAGGAGGGGGAGGAGAGAGAGGGGGAGGAGGGGGAGGAGGGAGAGGGGGAGGAGGGAGAGGAGAGAGGGAGAGGGGGGGAGGGAGAGGAGAGAGGGAGAGAGGGGGGGGGGAGGGAGAGGAGAGAGGGGGAGGCAAAGAAGAAGTCATTCACAGACGAGGAATAAGAGAGGCCAGAGAGAGACCAGAGAGAGACCAGAGAGAGACCAGAGAGAGAGACCAGAGAGAGACCAGAGAGAGACCAGAGAGACCAGAGAGAGACCAGAGAGAGACCAGAGAGAGACCAGAGAGAGAGACCAGAGAGAGACCAGAGAGAGACCAGAGAGAGACCAGAGAGAGACCAGAGAGAGAGACCAGAGAGAGACCAGAGAGACCAGAGAGAGACCAGAGAGAGACCAGAGAGAGACCAGAGAGAGACCAGAGAGAGACCAGAGAGAGAGACCAGAGAGAGACCAGAGAGAGACCAGAGAGACCAGAGAGAGACCAGAGAGAGACCAGAGAGAGACCAGAGAGAGACCAGAGAGAGACCAGAGAGACCAGAGAGAGACCAGAGAGAGACCAGAGAGAGACCAGAGAGAGACCAGAGAGAGACCAGAGAGAGAGACCAGAGAGAGACCAGAGAGAGACCAGAGAGAGACCAGAGAGAGACCAGAGAGAGAGACCAGAGAGAGACCAGAGAGAGACCAGAGAGAGACCAGAGAGAGAGACTAGAGAGAGACCAGAGAGAGACCAGAGAGAGACCAGAGAGAGACCAGAGAGAGACCAGAGAGAGACCAGAGAGAGAGACCAGAGAGAGACCAGAGAGAGAGACCAGAGAGAGACCAGAGAGAGACCAGAGAGAGACCAGAGAGAGACCAGAGAGAGACCAGAGAGAGACCAGAGAGACCAGAGAGAGACCAGAGAGAGACCAGAGAGAGACCAGAGAGAGACCAGAGAGAGACCAGAGAGAGACCAGAGAGACCAGAGAGAGACCAGAGAGAGACCAGAGAGAGAGACCAGAGAGAGAGACCAGAGAGAGACCAGAGAGACCAGAGAGAGAGACCAGAGTGAGACCAGAGAGAGGGTCTGGGTCTGGACTCACGTGTTGGCCTGGACAGAGTTGGGGGTCCCGGTCCCGGTCCCGGTCTGGGGCGTGGTCTTGAACAGAGCGTTGCTGTAGGCGTTGTGCTCTGTGGCTCTGATGTAGGTGTAGAAGGGGTTAGTGGGAGAGCACACAGGCAGCTGCTTAGGCCTCACCGGCTTCGCTGAAACACAGGAGCACAGGTACAGGCGTCACAGGAGCACAGGTACAGGCGTCACAGGAGCACAGGGACAGGCGTGAAACACAGGAGCACAGGGACAGGCGTGAAACACAGGAGCACAGGGACAGGCGTGAGACACAGGAGCACAGGGACAGGCGTGAAACACAGGAGCACAGGGACAGGCGTGAAACACAGGAGCACAGGGACAGGCATCACAGGAGCACAGGGACAGGCGTGAAACACAGGAGCACAGGGACAGGCGTGAGACACAGGAGCACAGGGACAGGCATGAAACACAGGAGCACAGGGACAGGCGTGAGACACAGGAGCACAGGTACAGGCGTCACAGGAGCACAGGGACAGGCATCACAGGAGCACAGGGACAGGCGTGAAACACAGGAGCACAGGGACAGGCGTCACAGGAGCACAGGGACAGGCGTGAAACACAGGAGCACAGGGACAGGCATCACAGGAGCACAGGGACAGGCGTGAGACACAGGAGCACAGGGACAGGCGTCACAGGAGTACAGGGACAGGCGTGAGACACAGGATCACAGGGACAGGCGTCACAGGAGCACAGGGACAGGCGTGAGACACAGGAGCACAGGGACAGGCGTCAGAGGAGCACAGGTACAGGCGTCACAGGAGCACAGGGACAGGCATCACAGGAGCACAGGGACAGGCGTGAAACACAGGAGCACAGGGACAGGCGTGAGACACAGGAGCACAGGGACAGGCGTGAAACACAGGAGCACAGGGACAGGCATGAAACACAGGAGCACAGGGACAGGCGTGAAACACAGGAGCACAGGGACAGGCGTGAGACACAGGAGCACAGGGACAGGCATGAAACACAGGAGCACAGGGACAGGCGTGAGACACAGGAGCACAGGGACAGGCGTGAAACACAGGAGCACAGGGACAGGCGTGAAACACAGGAGCCCAGGGACAGGCGTGAGACACAGGAGCACAGGGACAGGCATGAAACACAGGAGCACAGGGACAGGCATGAAACACAGGAGCACAGGGACAGGCGTGAGACACAGGAGCACAGGGACAGGCGTGAGACACAGGAGCACAGGGACAGGCGTGAAACACAGGAGCACAGGGACAGGCGTGAAACACAGGAGCACAGGGACAGGCGTGAGACACAGGAGCACAGGGACAGGCATGAAACACAGGAGCACAGGGACAGGCGTGAGACACAGGAGCACAGGTACAGGCGTCACAGGAGCACAGGGACAGGCATCACAGGAGCACAGGGACAGGCGTCACAGGAGCACAGGGACAGGCGTGAAACACAGGAGCACAGGGACAGGCATCACAGGAGCACAGGGACAGGCATGAAACACAGGAGCACAGGGACAGGCGTGAGACACAGGAGCACAGGGACAGGCGTGAAACACAGGAGCACAGGGACAGGCGTCACAGGAGTACAGGGACAGGCGTGAGACACAGGATCACAGGGACAGGCGTGAGACACAGGAGCACAGGGACAGGCGTCAGAGGAGCACAGGTACAGGCGTCACAGGAGCACAGGGACAGGCATCACAGGAGCACAGGGACAGGCGTGAAACACAGGAGCACAGGGACAGGCGTGTGAGACACAGGAGCACAGGGACAGGCGTGAAACACAGGAGCACAGGGACAGGCATGAAACACAGGAGCACAGGGACAGGCGTGAAACACAGGAGCACAGGGACAGGCGTGAGACACAGGAGCACATGGACAGGCGTGAAACACAGGAGCACAGGGACAGGCGTGAAACACAGGAGCACAGGGACAGGCGTGAGACACAGGAGCACAGGGACAGGCATGAAACACAGGAGCACAGGGACAGGCGTGAGACACAGGAGCACAGGGACAGGCGTGAAACACAGGAGCACAGGGACAGGCGTGAAACACAGGAGCACAGGGACAGGCGTGAGACACAGGAGCACAGGGACAGGCATGAAACACAGGAGCACAGGGACAGGCGTGAAACACAGGAGCACAGGGACAGGCGTGAGACACAGGAGCACAGGGACAGGCATCACAGGAGCACAGGGACAGGCGTGAGACACAGGAGCACAGGGACAGGCGTGAGACACAGGAGCACAGGGACAGGCGTGAAACACAGGAGCACAGGGACAGGCGTGAGACACAGGAGCACAGGGACAGGCGTGAGACACAGGAGCACAGGGACAGGCATGAAACACAGGAGCACAGGGACAGGCGTGAAACACAGGAGCACAGGGACAGGCGTGAGACACAGGAGCACAGGGACAGGCGACAGAGGAGCACAGGTACAGGCGTCACAGGAGCACAGGGACAGGCGTGAGACACAGGAGCACAGGAACAGGCGTGAGACACAGGAGCACAGGGACAGGCGTGAGACACAGGAGCACAGGGACAGGCATGAAACACAGGAGCACAGGGACAGGCGTGAAACACAGGAGCACAGGGACAGGCGTGAGACACAGGAGCACAGGGACAGGCGACAGAGGAGCACAGGTACAGGCGTCACAGGAGCACAGGGACAGGCGTGAAACACAGGAGCACAGGGACAGGCGTGAGACACAGGAGCACAGGGACAGGCGTGAAACACAGGAGCACAGGGACAGGCGTGAGACACAGGAGCACAGGGACAGGCATGAAACACAGGAGCACAGGGACAGGCGTGAAACACAGGAGCACAGGGACAGGCGTGAGACACAGGAGCACAGGGACAGGCATCACAGGAGCACAGGGACAGGCGTGAGACACAGGAGCACAGGGACAGGCGTGAGACACAGGAGCACAGGGACAGGCGTGAAACACAGGAGCACAGGGACAGGCGTGAGACACAGGAGCACAGGGACAGGCGTGAGACACAGGAGCACAGGGACAGGCATGAAACACAGGAGCACAGGGACAGGCGTGAAACACAGGAGCACAGGGACAGGCGTGAGACACAGGAGCACAGGGACAGGCGACAGAGGAGCACAGGTACAGGCGTCACAGGAGCACAGGGACAGGCGTGAGACACAGGAGCACAGGGACAGGCGTGAGACACAGGAGCACAGGGACAGGCGTGAGACACAGGAGCACAGGGACAGGCGTGAAACACAGGAGCACAAGGACAGGCGTGAGACACAGGAGCACAGGGACAGGCGTGAAACACAGGAGCACAGGGACAGGCGTGAGACACAGGAGCACATGGACAGGCGTGAAACACAGGAGCACAGGGACAGGCGTGAGACACAGGGAGCACAGGGATAGGCGTGAGACACAGGAGCACAGGGACAGGCGTGAGACACAGGAGCACAGGGACAGGCGTGAAACACAGAAGCACAGGGACAGGCATGAAACACAGGAGCACAGGGACAGGCATCACAGGAGCACAGGGACAGGCATGAAACACAGGAGCACAGGGACAGGCGTGAAACACAGGAGCACAGGGACAGGCGTGAGACACAGGAGCACAGGGACAGGCGTCAGAGGAGCACAGGTACAGGCGTCACAGGAGCACAGGGACAGGCATCACAGGAGCACAGGGACAGGCGTGAAACACAGGAGCACAGGGACAGGCGTGAGACACAGGAGCACAGGGACAGGCATGAAACACAGGAGCACAGGGACAGGCGTGAAACACAGGAGCACAGGGACAGGCGTGAGACACAGGAGCACAGGGACAGGCGACAGAGGAGCACAGGTACAGGCGTCACAGGAGCACAGGGACAGGCATCACAGGAGCACAGGGACAGGCATGAAACACAGGAGCACAGGGACAGGCGTGAGACACAGGAGCACAAGGACAGGCGTGAGACACAGGAGCACAGGGACAGGCATGAAACACAGGAGCACAGGGACAGGCGTGAAACACAGGAGCACAGGGACAGGCGTGAAACACAGGAGCACAGGGACAGGCGTGAAACACAGGAGCACAGGGACAGGCGTGAGACACAGGAGCACAGGGACAGGCGTGAGACACAGGAGCACAGGGACAGGCATGAAACACAGGAGCACAGGGACAGGCGTGAAACACAGGAGCACAGGGACAGGCGTCACAGGAGTACAGGGATAGGCGTGAGACACAGGAGCACAGGGACAGGCGACAGAGGAGCACAGGTACAGGCGTCACAGGAGCACAGGGACAGGCATCACAGGAGCACAGGGACAGGCATGAAACACAGGAGCACAGGGACAGGCGTGAAACACAGGAGCACAGGTACAGGCGTCACAGGAGCACAAGGACAGGCATGAAACACAGGAGCACAGGGACAGGCGTGAAACACAGGAGCACAGGGACAGGCATGAAACACAGGAGCACAGGGACAGGCGTGAGACACAGGAGCACAGGGACAGGCATGAAACACAGGAGCACAGGGACAGGCGTGAGACACAGGAGCACAGGGACAGGCGTGAGACACAGGAGCACAGGGACAGGCGACAGAGGAGCACAGGGACAGGCGTGAAACACAGGAGCACAGGGACAGGCGTGAAACACAGGAGCACAGGGACAGGCGTGAAACACAGGAGCACAGGGACAGGCATGAAACACAGGAGCACAGGGACAGGCATCACAGGAGCACAGGGACAGGCATGAAACACAGGAGCACAGGGACAGGCGTGAGACACAGGAGCACAGGGACAGGCATCACAGGAGCACAGGGACAGGCATGAAACACAGGAGCACAAGGACAGGCATGAAACACAGGAGCACAGGGACAGGCGTGAAACACAGGAGCACAGGGACAGGCGTGAGACACAGGAGCACAGGGACAGGCGTGAAACACAGGAACACAGGGACAGGCATGAAACACAGGAGCACAGGGACAGGCGTAAGGAGGGAGGAGCTCAGGAGAAGGAGAAGGAGGATTAGGGTCAGTACCGATCTGAGGCACGTGGGGGCGCCGCAGTGCGCTCTTGGCCTTCATGGCGTCCTTGATGCGGTCCACTTCCTGTTGGTAGCGGCGCCGGTCCAACATGGCGCCCTCTTTGGCGTCTCTCAGTGCAGTCTCCAGGGCCTTAACTCGCTCAGCAGTAGAACGGAGACGCTTCTCCAGCTTCGGAAGCTCACAGCGAAGGTCTGCATTGTCACGAACCAGCTGGGGATACCAGAGGAGACACCAGAGGGGATCAGAACCAGATGGGGATACCAGAGGAGACACCAGAGGGGATCAGAACCAGATGGGGATACCAGAGGAGACACAAGAGGAGACACCAGAAGGGATCAGAACCAGATGGGGATACCAGAGGAGACACAAGAGGAGACACCAGAGGGGATCAGAACCAGATGGGGATACCAGAGGAGACACCAGAGGAGACCCAAGGGATCATAACCAGAGGGTGTCAGCACCAGCAGTAGAAGAAGAGAGAGGGTGTGTGTGTGTGTGTGTCTCAGTGTGTGTCTGTGCATGTGTGTGTGTGTGTGTCTCAGTGTGTGTATGTGTGTGTGTGTGTCTGTGTCTCAGTGTGTGCGTGTGTGTGTGTGTCTGTGTCTCAGTGTGAGTGTGTGTGTGTGTGTGTCTCAGTGTGTGTGTGTGTGTGTGTGTGTGCGTGTGTGTGTGTGTGTGCGTGTGTGTGTGTCTGTGTCTCAGTGTGTGTGTGTGTGTGTGTGTGTCTCAGTGTGTGTGTGTGTGTGTGTGTGTGTGTGTCTCAGTGTGTGTGTGTGTGTGTGTGTGTGTGTCTCAGTGTGTGTGTGTGTGTGTGTGTCTTTGTCTCTGTGTGTGTGTGTGTGTGTGTGTGTGTGTGTGTGTGTGTGTGTCTGTGTGTGTGTGTGTGTGTCTGTGTGTGTGTGTCTATGTGTGTGTCTGTGTGTGTGTGTGTGCACTTGTTTTCAACTCCTGGTGGGTTCCATAACCTGAGATTCCACTCACGTCATGGGGACTGGTTTTACGTGGTGGGGCCCGAACACCGGACCCCACTGGTCCAAGCTTAATAATCAATGGGTAATGCTTTTCTAACGGTCCTTATGCAGTCTCTGTAAAAATATGGAAAGGACCCCTGGAGGTTTACTTTCCTGAAAAAAGTGTGTTATGTGTCGGAACCCTGGTGGTGGGTTGCGGGATATCAAGGAGGGGCACACTGGGGCAATTTCAGTCCAGCAGGCTGGAGCCAATCATGGAGCAGCACAACAGAGGCTGGAGCCAATCATGGAGCAGCACAACAGAGGCTGGAGCCAATCATGGAGCAGCACAACAGAGGCTGGAGCCAATCATGGAGCAGCACAACAGAGGCTGGAGCCAATCATGGAGCAGCACAACAGAGGCTGGAGCCAATCATGGAGCAGCACAACAGAGGAAATCAGGTGTCAGGCTAGAAAAAGGTGCAAGTGTGTGGTTCATTAGGCTGCAAGAAATCATGGAGGAGCACACTGAAGCGCACGCTTACAAACCACTGGTAAGTGCTGACTACAAGTCATGACTTCAAATTGTTATATAGAATTATTACAAATGATTTGTTGTTTGTGCAGCTTAGTCAAGAGTCCCTAATTGATGAAGTCGACTCAGATTCTGACGATTTAACTGTCAAGAAGAAACCTGTAAAAAAGTATGGAAAAAGAAAAATCAAAAACACTTTTCTTCAAGACTCGGAAAGTGACGAACCAAAGGCAAATAAGATTGTTATCATGCAGCTGCAAAAGAAGAAAAATGGGGGGCGAGTTTACAGCAAGAGACACTTCTGCCTCTACTGTTCAATGTCCTGCCACAAAATGTCCCGTCATTTGACTAGAAAACATGGAAATGAAAGTGACGTAGCCAGAGCATTGGCTCTACCTGTGAAATCTAAAGCACGTAAACTTCAGTTTGATTTGATCAGGAATAGTGGAAACCGTGAGCACAATTTTGAGGTTTTAAAGGCCGGCATTGGAACTTTAGTCCCAGCTAAACAGCCAAATTCCCCAGTTAAATCCAGTGAGTTTTTGCACTGTATAGACTGTGGGGCATTGCTTAAGCGAAAGTCGCTGTGGAGGCATGTGGCCAGGTGCCGGCTTTCACAGAAAGATGCCCAGGCTAAACCAGGTAGAAGTAGGGTCCAGTCCCTCTGCTCCCTAGCCCAGCCTGTACCGGAGGGCATCAGCAAAAAGCTGTGGTCTTTAATTTCGGCAATGCATCAGGATGAGGTCACGGGTGTTGTCAAAGCAGAAAAGGGGATTCTGAGACTTGGAGAGCACCTGTACTTAAAACACGGGCATGATAAGACAAAGCATGATTACATTAGGCAGAAAATGAGAGAAGTCGGTAGGTTAATTAACGAAGCAAAAACCGCAGGGAAACTGAAAACAATTAAGGATTTCTTTATTCCTTCCAACTTTAACCATGTGATTGATGCAGTCAGGTCTGTGGCTGGATATGATGAGGAAACAAATCAATACAAGACTCCATCCTTGGCCCTCAAACTCGGCCATAGCCTCAGAAAGCTAGCAGATATTCTTGAATGTGACTCAAAAATGGAGCATTGTGTTGATGAACTATTTATTAAAAACCTCCAACGAAGCCGGCTGCTTTTTGAGAAGAGGTGGGACGTCTGTGTTTCTTCTGCTGCCCTACAGACCCTCCGGCAAGCCAAGTGGAACACTCCGGACCTGCTCCCTCTGACTGAGGACGTTAGAGCCATGCATGCACATATTGAGGTATGTCGACCTGAATATGTGCAAACCCTAATAAGTGAGCCAACGTCTAAGCATTGGTCTAAACTGGCAGTTTTGACTCTTTGTGAGGTCATCATTTTCAATCGAAGAAGGGAAGGTGAGGTTTCAAAGATGCCACTGACAGCGTTTACCTTAAGAAGTAAGACTGGGATCCATTCTGACATTGCTCTGGGACTGTCCCAACTTGAGAAAAAGCTGTGTCAGCATTTTCAACGCATTGAAATTAAAGGGAAAAGAAGTCGGAAAGTGCCGGTTCTTTTGACTCCTGAAATGATTGCTTGGATGGAGGTGTGCTGGTGGAGAACAGAAGGGCCTGTTCCATCTCTGACCATAACCCATACTTCTTTTCCCGCCCGGGCGCAGACACCCACATCAGGGGATCAGACTCCCTACGCCAGGTAGCCAAAGAATGTGGTGCGGTGCATCCAGAGATGCTATCCTCAACCAAACTTAGAAAGCACATAGCTACTATGTCTACAGTTCTCAATATGAAAGAGAATGAGATGGACATACTTGCCAACTTCCTCGGCCATGACATTCGCATCCACAGGCAATATTACAGACTACCAGAGGGGACACTGGAGCTGGCCAAAATCAGCAAAGTGTTGATGGCCATGGAGCAGGGAAGAGTGACGGAATTCGAAGGAAAGAGCCTCGACCAGATACAAATTGAGCCTGAAGGTAATTCTTGATATTATTAAAATATGTATGATTTTTTTCCCCTAAAGGCCACTTGTATTTTTATTTTCTGTGCGACAGGGAGAGCAGTAGAGATCCTCTCACAAACGGACGGGCTAAAAGAAACTTCAAGCGGAGAACCTTCAACCATTCATCCAGATGCACCCCATGGTAGTGGCAGTGCCCCTTCTGGTAAGTGTACCAGGTGGGGGATTACAGCCAGGCTGCTTGGTCCTCACCCTGGGAGTGTATATTGCTAATATATTTTTATTTCTCTCCCTAGAACGTTAGAGAAAGCCATGGTCTGCATCTGAGGTGAAGGCTGTGGAGAAGACCATGACACCTTTCATACAGACTGGAAAGGTCCCTGGGAAGTCTCACTGCCTGGCCTGCATTAATGCCTCACCAGATGACCTTAGACATCGGACATGGAGTGGCATTAAATTCTATGTCAAAAATAGAATCACTGCAATTCAAAAACAAAATCTAAAATAAAATTCCTTTAAAATAGTTGTTTGGTTTCTATTGACTGTTTTGTATTACTTAAAGTCTTGGTAAAAAAAGATTATGTCTATGGGTCCCATTCTGAACGGCCCTGTCAAAGGGACCCACCAGGTAACAAAAACGTGTATGTGTGTGTGTGTGTGTGTGTCTATGTCTCAGTGTGTGTCTGTGTCTCAGTGTGTGTGTGTGTGTGTGTCTGTGTCTCAGTGTGTGTCTGTGTCTCAGTGTGTGTGTGTGTGTGTGTGTGTGTCTCAGTGTGTGTGTGTGTGTCTGTGTCTCAGTGTGTGTGTGTGTCTGTGTCTCAGTGTGTGTGTGTGTCTGTGTCTCAGTGTGTGTGTGTGTGTGTGTCTGTGTCTCAGTGTGTGTGTGTGTCTTTGTCTCAGTGTGTGTGTGGTTGTGTCTGTGTCTCAGTGTGTGTGTGTGAGTGTGTGTGTGTGTGTCTATGTCTCAGTGTGTGTGTGTGTGTGTCTGTGTCTCAGTGTGGGTGTGTGTGTGTGTGTGTGTCTGTGTCTCAGTGTGTGTCTGTGTCTCAGTGTGTGTGTGTGTCTATGTCTCAGTGTGTGTGTGTCTGTGTCTCAGTGTGTGTGTGTGTGTGTGTCTGTGTCTCAGTGTGTGTGTGTGTCTGTGTCTCAGTGTGTGTGTGGTTGTGTCTGTGTCTCAGTGTGTGTGTGTGAGTGTGTGTGTGTGTGTGTGTCTATGTCTCAGTGTGGGTGTGTGTGTGTGTGTGTCTGTGTCTCAGTGTGTGTGTGTGTGTGTGTGTGTGTGTGTGTGTGTCTGTGTCTCTCAGTGTGGGTGTGTGTGTGTGTGTGTGTGTGTCTATGTCTCAGTGTGTGTGTGTGTGTCTGTGTCTCAGTGTGTGTGTGTGTGTGTCTGTGTCTCAGTGTGTGTGTGTGTGTGTGTGTGTGTGTGTGTCTCAGTGTGTGTGTGTGTCTCAGTGTGTGTGTGTGTCTCAGTGTGTGTGTGTGTGTCTCAGTGTGTGTGTGTGTGTGTGTGTGTGTGTGTGTGTGTGTGTCTCAGTGTGTGTGTGTGTGTCAGTCAGTGTGTGTGTGTGTCTCAGTGTGTGTGTGTGTCTCAGTGTGTGTGTGTGTCTCAGTGTGTGTGTGTGTGTGTGTGTGTGTGTGTGTCTCAGTGTGTGTGTCTGTGTGTCAGTGTGTGTGTCTGTGTCTCAGTGTGTGTGTGTGTGTGTCTGTGTCTCAGTGTGTGTCTGTGTCTCAGTGTGTGTGTGTCCTACCTGTTTGTGCACCTTTGTAAGCTGGTCCAGGTTGTTCTCCAGAAAGCAGATCTTCTGCTTCTGTGTGCAGGACCCCCCACTGTCATCAGGCTCCAATTCTGAACTCTGAGACACAGGAGGAGTGAGGCCCGCGGCACACGGAGGATCTACTGCTGAGCTCTACATGCAGCTCCAGCAGTAATAGACACATGTGTGAGTGCGAGAGGCGGCTCTACCTCGAGCTTCTCTGCCTCTGCTATGGTTTCTATTGTTACAATAAGCATTAGCCACATGCTAAGCTACAGCTGTGATGTCACACTGCAACTACACGGACACACAACTACAACACACGATCACACAGAGGTACAGGTTAACAAGTTATAATACACACACACACAGAGACACACACAGAAACACACATACACACAGACACACACACACACACAAACACACATCCACACACACAGAGACACACACAGAAACACACATACACAGAGAGACACACACACACACAAACACACACCCACACACACAGACACAGAGAGACACACACACACACACACACACACACACACACATACACACAAACACACACCCACACACACAGACACAGAGTTTTGTGTTTTACTTTTTTAACCCGCGACGTGAGGTCTTGAACGAACAGCTTGCGCAGGTTGTGGAGGGTCTGGAGCTCGCGGGCCTGAGGAAGATACACACAATACTCACACAGATACACACAATACTCACACAGATACACACAATACTCACACAGATACACACAATACTCACACAGATACACACAATACTCACACAGATACACACAATACTCACACAGATACACACAATACTCACACAGATACACACAATACTCACACAGATACACACAATACTCACACAGATACACACAATACTCACACAGATACACACAATACTCACACAGATACACACAATACTCACACAGATACACACAATACTCACACAGATCCCACATACACAATACTCACACAGATACACACAATACTCACACAGATACACACAATACTCACACAGATACACACAATACTCACACAGATACACACAACACACAGTACACTCACACAGTACACACAATACTCACACAGATACACACAATACTCACACAATACACACACACATACACAATACTCACACAGATACACACAATACTCACACAGATACACACAATACTCACACAGATACACACAATACTCACACAGGTACACACAATACTCACACAGATACACACAATACTCACACAGGTACACACAATACTCACACAGATACACACAATACTCACACAGGTACACACAATACTCACACAGGTACACACAATACTCACACAGATACACAGAATACTCACACAGGTACACACAATACTCACACAGATACACACAAAACTCACACAGATACATACAATACTCACACAGGTACACACAATACTCACACAGATACACACAATACTCACACAGGTACACACAATACTCACACAGATACACAGAATACTCACACAGATACACACAATACTCACACAGGTACACACAATACTCACACAGATACACACAAAACTCACACAGGTACACACAATACACACACAGGTACACACAAAACTCACACAGATACACACACTTGCTGCCACAGACAGACGTACCACAGTCTCCTCCAGACCCTTGAGGTCCTGCTTGGTCTGCTCGTGGCGCTCATGAAGAAACCTGAGAAAAGTCTGGGTTACAGACTGTACACAGATGGACAATGCTAACCCGCTAGCTCAATGCTAACACGCTAACTCAATCCTAACCCACTAGCTCAATGACGCCTAACAGGGAAGTGCTCATGGACAAAGTTTATTCCAACTCTCTTGGTGACCCTGGTGTTTCTACCACCGCCTAGCAACCGCCTTAGCAATAATCTTAGCAACCGCCTTAGAAACAGTCTTAGCAACCGCCTTAGCAACAGTCTTAGCAACCGCCTTAGCAACAGTCTTAGCAATCGCCTTAGCAACAGTCTTGGCAACAGTCTTGGCAACAGTCTTGGCAACCGCCTTAGAAACAGTCTTAGCAACCGCCTTAGAAACAGTCTTAGCAACCGCCTTAGCAACAGTCTTAGCAACCGCCTTAGAAACAGTCTTAGCAACCGCCTTAGAAACAGTCTTAGCAACCGCCTTAGCAACAGTCTTAGCAACCGCCTTAGCAACAGTCTTAGCAACCGCCTTAGAAACAGTCTTAGCAACCGCCTTAGCAACAGTCTTAGCAACCGCCTTAGCAACAGTCTTAGCAATCGCCTTAGCAACAGTCTTGGCAACAGTCTTAGCAATAATCTTAGCAACCGCCTTAGAAACAGTCTTAGCAACCGCCTTAGCAACAGTCTTAGCAATCGCCTTAGCAACAGTCTTGGCAACAGTCTTGGCAACAGTCTTGGCAACAGTCTTGGCAACAGTCTTGGCAACCGCCTTAGCAACCGCCTTAGAAATAGTCTTAGTAACTGTCTTAGCAACTGTCTTAGAAACTTTTAGCGTGTAGCGTGTTAGCATTGAGCTAGCGTGTTAGCATGTCCGTGTGTGCAGTGTCAGACTCACGACAGCTCCTCCAGCCTCTCGCTCTTGCTGCAGTCCTGACTCTTCAGTCGATCGAAGTCGGAGCGAACCTGAGCGAGCTCCAGCTGCAGCGACGAGTTCTGACTGAACACACACACACACACGCACACACACGCACACACACACACACTTTAGTCTGAGGTCTGTGTGAAAATATATTTAACGTTGAACACACACATACACTACCGTTCAAAAGTTTGGGGTCACATTGAAATGTCCTTATTTTTGAAGGAAAAGGTGTAGATAACTTTAAACAATGTCTTGACTCTGTTTTCTATTCATTTCACAAAGTACAGTGGTGAATAAGTGACTTTTCATGGAAAACACTTGACCCCAAACTTTAGAACAGTAGTGTATATTTAGACATACAGTATACATGTGTGTGTGTGTATACACTCAGTATACATGTGTGTGTGTCTCTGTGTATATACACTCAGTATACATGTGTGTGTGTATACACTCAGTATACATGTGTGTGTGTATATACACTCAGTATACATGTGTGTGTGTATATACACTCAGTATACATGTGTGTGTGTATATACACTCAGTATACATGTGTGTGTGTCTCTGTGTATATACACTCAGTATACATGTGTGTGTGTATATACACTCAGTATACATGTGTGTGTGTCTCTGTGTATATACACTCAGTATACATGTGTGTGTGTATATACACTCAGTATACATGTGTGTGTGTCTCTGTGTATATACACTCAGTATACATGTGTGTGTGTATATACACTCAGTATACATGTGTGTGTGTATATACACTCAGTATACATGTGTGTGTGTGTATACACTCAGTATACATGTGTGTGTGTGTATACACTCAGTATACATGTGTGTGTGTCTCTGTGTATATACACTCAGTATACATGTGTGTGTGTATATACACTCAGTATACATGTGTGTGTGTATATACACTCAGTATACATGTGTGTGTGTCTCTGTGTATATACACTCAGTATACATGTGTGTGTGTCTCTGTGTATATACACTCAGTATACATGTGTGTGTGTATACACTCAGTATACATGTGTGTGTGTGTATATACACTCAGTATACATGTGTGTGTGTATATACACTCAGTATACATGTGTGTGTGTATATACACTCAGTATACATGTGTGTGTGTCTCTGTGTATATACACTCAGTATACATGTGTGTGTGTATATACACTCAGTATACATGTGTGTGTGTCTCTGTGTATATACACTCAGTATACATGTGTGTGTGTATATACACTCAGTATACATGTGTGTGTGTCTCTGTGTATATACACTCAGTATACATGTGTGTGTGTATATACACTCAGTATACATGTGTGTGTGTATATACACTCAGTATACATGTGTGTGTGTGTATACACTCAGTATACATGTGTGTGTGTGTATACACTCAGTATACATGTGTGTGTGTCTCTGTGTATATACACTCAGTATACATGTGTGTGTGTATATACACTCAGTATACATGTGTGTGTGTATATACACTCAGTATACATGTGTGTGTGTCTCTGTGTATATACACTCAGTATACATGTGTGTGTGTCTCTGTGTATATACACTCAGTATACATGTGTGTGTGTCTCTGTGTATATACACTCAGTATACATGTGTGTGTGTCTCTGTGTATATACACTCAGTATACATGTGTGTGTGTCTCTGTGTATATACACTCAGTATACATGTGTGTGTGTCTCTGTGTATATACACTCAGTATACATGTGTGTGTGTCTCTGTGTATATACACTCAGTATACATGTGTGTGTGTCTTTGTATATACACTCAGTATACATGTGTGTGTGTCTCTGTGTATATACACTCAGTATACATGTGTGTGTGTCTCTGTGTATACACATTCAGTATACACGCCTGTGTGTGTGTGTGTGTGTGTGTGTGTGTATATACATTCAGTATACACACCTGTGTGTGTGTGTGTGTGTGTGTGTGTATACATTCAGTATACACACCTGTGTGTGTGTGTGTGTGTGTGTGTGTGTGCATACATTCAGTATACACACCTGTGTGTGTGTGTGTGTGTGTGTGTGTGTGTGTGTGTATACATTCAGTATACACACCTGTGTGTGTGTGTGTGTGTGTGTGTGTGTGCATACATTCAGTATACACACCTGTGTGTGTGTGTGGTGTGTGTGTGTGTGTGTGTGTGTGTGTATACATTCAGTATACACGCCTGTGTGTGTGTGTGTGTGTGTGTGTATACATGCACATCTGTGTGAAGTGTGCTATACAGATAAACTGACTCAGTGAGCTCGTCGATCAGCCGCTGCTTCTCGTTGATCTCGTCGCGCAGACGTGAAAGCTGCTTATGATGAAGACCACGGTGAGACTCCCCCTGCTGGAGGGAGGACTTCTGTGCAACACACACATGTATATATTATACACACAAACACACACACACACACACACACACATATATCATACACACATTCATAAAGACAAACACACACACATATATATATCATACACACAGACACACACACACACACACACACACACACACACACATATATATATCATACACACACACACAGATGGAGACCAGCACCGGGCGGATGAATTTAACCAGTACTTCAACCGGTTTGATTCTCCCCCCTCTCCATCTGCCCCCCCTCCCGCCCCCACCTCTTCACACGTCCCCAGCCCAGTGGACACCGCCCAGTGGACACTGCCTCCGGCTGCCCCGGGCCCTCCTGCCCCCGCATCCCCAGCCCCCACCTCGGACAGTACACCCCGGTCCCCCCCCCCTCTCCATCACACCGGACCAGGTGAGGAGTCAGCTCCAGCGTCTGAACCAGAGGAAATCCGCAGGACCGGACGGGATCAGTCCCAGGCTGCTGAGGACCTGTGCAGACCAGCTCTCTGGGGTCCTCAGCTACATGTACAACCTGAGCCTCAGCCTGGAGAAGGTCCCTGTCCTGTGGAAGACCTCCTGTGGAAGACCTCCTGTGGAAGACCTCCTGTGGAAGACCTCCTGTGGAAGACCTCCTGTGGAAGACCTCCTGTGGAAGACCTCCTGTGGAAGACCTCCTGTGGAAGACCTCCTGTGGAAGACCTCCTGTGTGATCCCGGTCCCAAAAACAGCACACGCCAAGGAACCGGCTCACTACAGACCAGTCGCACTGACCTCCCACCTGATGAAGACCATGGAGCACTGACCTCCCACCTGATGAAGACCATGGAGCACTGACCTCCCACCTGATGAAGACCATGGAGCACTGACCTCCCACCTGATGAAGACCATGGAGCACTGACCTCCCACCTGATGAAGACCATGGAGCGGTTCATCCTCACCCATCTCCGCTCCGTGGTCAGCCCCACCCTGGACCCGCTGCAGTTCGCCTACAGACCCAACATCGGAGTAGAGGACGCCGTCATCTACTTCCTGCAGCGGACGCTCTCCCACCTGGAGCCTGCAGGGGGCGCTGTGAGGGTCATGTTTTTCGACTTTTCCAGCGCTTTCAACACCATCAGGCCGGCACTGCTGCGGGGGAAGATGGAGGACGCGGGAGTGGACAGTCACCTCACTGCATGGACCATCAACTACCTCACTGCATGGACCATCAACTACCTCACTGCATGGACCATCAACTACCTCACTGCATGGACCATCAACTACCTCACTGCATGGACCATCAACTACCTCTCAGAGCGACCACAGTACGTGCGGCTGCGCAGCTGTGAGTCTGAGGTGGTCGTCTGCAGCACTGGGGCCCCTCAGGGCACTGTCCTCTCACCGTTTCTCTTCACCATCTACACCTCAGACTTCACACACGACACACACAGCTGTCACCTGCAGAAGTTCTCCGACGACTCCGCCATCGTGGGCTGTGTGTCTGAGGGGAACCAACTGGAATATCGGTCGGTTATCAAGGACTTTGTCGACTGGTGTGAGCGCAACCACTTGTGCTTGAACACCAGTAAGACCAAGGAGATGGTCATCGACTTCAGGAGAAAACCACTTTCCCACACGCTGCTGAACATCCAGGGGGAGGACATTGAGCTGGTGGACAGATTCAAGTACCTGGGTGTTCACATTAACAATAAACTGGACTGGTCCATAATACAAACGCCCTGCACAAGAAGGGCCAAAGTCGCCTCTTCCTTCTGAGGAGGCTGAGGTCCTTCTGAGGAGGCTGAGGTCCTTATGAGGAGGCTGAGGTCCTTCTGAGGAGGCTGAGGTCCTTCTGAGGAGGCTGGGGTCCTTCTGAGGAGGCTGGGGTCCTTCTGAGGAGGCTGAGGTCCTTCTGAGGAGGCTGAGGTCCTTCTGAGGAGGCTGAGGTCCTTCTGAGGAGGCTGAGGTCCTTCTGAGGAGGCTGAGGTCCTTCTGAGGAGGCTGAGGTCCTTCTGAGGAGGCTGAGGTCCTTCGGAGGAGGCTGAGGTCCTTCAGAGGAGGCTGAGGTCCTTCTGAGGAGACTGAGGTCCTTCTGAGGAGGCTGAGGTCCTTCTGAGGAGGCTGAGGTCCTTCTGAGGAGGCTGAGGTCCTTCTGAGGGGGCTGAGGTCCTTCTGAGGAGGCTGAGGTCCTTCTGAGGAGGCTGAGGTCCTTCTGAGGAGGCTGAGGTCCTTCTGAGGAGGCTGCGGTCCTTCTGAGGAGGCTGAGGTCCTTCTGAGGAGGCTGAGGTCCTTCTGAGGAGGCTGAGGTCCTTCTGAGGAGGCTGAGGTCCTTCAGAGGAGGCTGAGGTCCTTCTGAGGAGGCTGAGGTCCTTCTGAGGAGGCTGAGGTCCTTCTGAGGAGGCTGAGGTCCTTCTGAGGAGGCTGAGGTCCTTCTGAGGAGGCTGAGGTCCTTCTGAGGAGGCTGAGGTCCTTCTGAGGAGGCTGAGGTCCTTCTGAGGAGGCTGAGGTCCTTCTGAGGAGGCTGAGGACCTTCTGAGGAGGCTGAGGACCTTCTGAGGAGGCTGAGGTCCTTCTGAGGAGGCTGAGGTCCTTCGGAGTGAGCAGGCCTCTGCTTAGGACCTTTTATGACTCTGTGGTAGCTTCTGCCATTTACTACGCTGCCGTGTGCTGGGCCCCGGGCAGCACAGAGCGGGACAGAAACAGACTGAACAAGCTGGTCAGGAGGAGGTGAGGGACAGGAGGCCCCTGGACTCTGTGGAGGAGATGAGGGACAGGAGGCCCCTGGACTCTGTGGAGGAGGCGAGGGACAGGAGGCCCCTGGACTCTGTGGAGGAGGTGAGGGACAGGAGGCCTCTGGACTCTGTGGAGGAGGTGAGGGACAGGAGGCCCCTGGACTCTGTGGAGGAGGTGAGGGACAGGAGGCCCCTGGACTCTGTGGAGGAGGTGAGGGACAGGAGGCCCCTGGACTCTGTAGAGGAGGTGAGGGACAGGAGGCCCCTGGACTCTGTGGAGGAGGTGAGGGACAGGAGGCCCCTGGACTCTGTGGAGGAGGTGAGGGACAGGAGGCCCCTGGACTCTGTGGAGGAGGTGAGGGACAGGAGGCCCCTGGACTCTGTGGAGGAGGTGAGGGACAGGAGGCCCCTGGACTCTGTAGAGGAGGTGAGGGACAGGAGGCCCCTGGACTCTGTGGAGGAGGTGAGGGACAGGAGGCCCCTGGACTCTGTGGAGGAGGTGAGGGACAGGAGGCCCCTGGACTCTGTAGAGGAGGTGAGGGACAGGAGGCCCCTGGACTCTGTAGAGGAGCTGAGGAGCTCCTTCAGTGGAAGACTGAGACACCCTCAGTGTAGGAAGGAGCGCTACCGCAGGGCCTTTATCCCCACCGCTGTCAGACTGTACAATAAGTCACTTTAAATGATCAGTGTGAAAACCTGCACTACTATTGACACTGTTTCCAATTGACACTTGTCACTTTTGTTGTACCTAATTATTGTAACTTTATTGTACATATATCCTGCATGTAACATGTTTGCACATTTCCTCCCTTTGCACAATCTGAGTGTCCTATCCATGCCAAATGTGACATGTACATTTCTCCTCTGAGAGATAAACAAAGCACATCTTATCTTATCTTATCTTATCTTATATATATCACACACACACAGAGACAGACACACACACATATATATCATACACACACACACACACACACACATATATACAGTGTATAGTATTCGGCCCCCTTGAACCTTTCAACATTTCGCCACATTTCAGTCTTCAAACATAAAGATATAAAATTTTAAGTTTTTGTCATGAATCAGCAACAAGTGGGACACAATCGTGAAGTAGAACGAAATGTATTGGATAATTTAAACTTTTTTAACAAATAAAAAACTGAAAAGTGGGGCGTGCAATATTATTGGGCCCCTTTACTTTCAGTGCAGCAAACTCAGTCCAGAAGTTCAGTGAGGATCTTTGAATGATCCAATGTTGTCCTAAATGACTGATGATGATAAATAGAATGCACCTGTGTGTGATCAAGTCTCCGTATAAATGCACCTGCTCTTTGATAGTCTCAGGGTTCTGTTTAAAGCACAGAGAGAACCATGAAGACAAAGGAACACACCAGGCAGGTCCGAGATACTGTTGTGGAGAAGTTTAAAGCCGGATTTGGATACAAAAAGATTTCCCAAGCTTTAAACATCTCAAGGAGCACTGTGCAAGCAATTATATTGAAATGGAAGGAGTATCAGACCACTGCAAATCTACCAAGACCCGGCCGTCCCTCCAAACTTTCATCTCAAACAAGAAGACTGATCAGAGATGCAGCCAAGAGGCCCATGATCACTCTGGATGAACTGCAGATAACTACAGCTGAGGTGGGAGAGTCTGTCCATAGGACAACAATCAGTCGTGCACTGCACAAATCTGGCCTTTATGGAAGAGTGGCAAGAAGAAAGCCATTTCTCAAAGATATCCATAAAAATCGGGCGGCACGGTGGCTGAGTGGATAGCACTCTCGCCTCTCAGCAAGAAGGTCCTGGGTTCGAATCCCGGCCGGACCAGGGCCTTTCTGAGTGGAGTTTGTATGTTCTCCCCGTGTCTGCGTAGGTTTCCTCCGGGTACTCCGGTTTCCCCTACCACTAAAAATATGTACAATAGTTCTGGCATGTGCCTCCTGTACTGGCCCCGCTCCCATCTCTGTGTGGAGTGAGAGACAAATGCCCAAAAAATAACAATTGTAAACCGCTTTGAGACTCAGATCTGTGAAAGGCGGTATATAAATAAAGCTTACTTACTTACTTACTTAAAAAGTCTGGTTTAAAGTTTGCCACAAGCCACCTGGGAGACACACCAAACATGTGGAAGAAGGTGCTCTGGTCAGATGAAACCAAAATCGAACTTTTTGGCCACAATGCAAAACGATATGTTTGGCGTAAAAGCAACACAGCTCATCACCCTGAACACACCATCCCCACTGTCAAACATGGTGGTGGCAGCATCATGCTTTGGGCCTGCTTTTCTTCAGCAGGGACAGGGAAGATGGCTAAAATTGATGGGAAGATGGATGAGCCAAATACAAGACCATTCTGGAAGAAAACCTGTTGGAGTCTGCAAAAGACCTGAGACTGGGACGGAGATTTATCTTCCAACAGGACAATGATCCAAAACATAAAGCCAAATCTACAATGGAATGGTTCACAAATAGACGTATCCAGGTGTTAGAATGGCCAAGTCAAAGTCCAGACCTGAATCCAATCCAGAATCTGTGGAAAGAGCTGAAGACTGCTGTTCACAAACGCTCTCCATCCAACCTCACTGAGCTCCAGCTGTTTTGCAAGGAAGAATGGGCAAGAATTCCAGTCTCTCGATGTGCAAAACTGATAGAGACATACCCCAAGCGACTTGCAGCTGTAATTGCAGCAAAAGGTGGCGCTACAAAGTATTTGCGCAAGGGGCCGAATAATATTGCAAGCCCCACTTTTCAGTTTTATATTTGTTAAAAAAGTTTAAATTATCCAATAAATTTCGTTCCACTTCACGATTGTGTCTCACTTGTTGTTGATTCTTGACAAAAAATTAAATTTTTATATCTTTATGTTTGAAGCCTGAAATGTGGCGAAATGTTGAATGGTTCAAGGGGGTCGAATACTTTCGCACTGTACATCATACACACAAACACACACAGTACCTCTGTCTCTCCGTCCTTCTCCTCGGTCTGAACGTTCTCTGTGGAAACAGAAGAAATCAGACACATGGTCCTAGAGGACAGAGGAGACACATGGTCCTAGAGGACAGAGGAGACACATGGTCCTAGAGGACAGAGGAGACACATGGTCCTAGAGGACAGAGGAGACACATGGTCCTAGAGGACAGAGGAGACACATGGTCCTAGAGGACAGGGGAGACACATGGTTCTAGAGGACAGAGGAGACACATGGTCCTAGAGGACAGGGGAGACACATGGTTCTAGAGGACAGAGGAGACACATGGTCCTCGAGGACAGAGGAGACACATGGTCCTAGAGGACAGAGGAGACACATGGTTCTAGAGGACAGAGGAGACACATGGTCCTAGAGGACAGGGGAGACACATGGTTCTAGAGGACAGAGGAGACACATGGTCCTAGAGGACAGAGGAGACACATGGTTCTAGAGGACAGAGGAGACACATGGTACTAGAGGACAGAGGAGACACATGGTACTAGAGGACAGAGGAGACACATGGTACTAGAGGACAGAGGAGACACATGGTTCTAGAGGACAGAGGAGACACATGGTACTAGAGGACAGAGGAGACACATGGTACTAGAGGACAGAGGAGACACATGGTCTTATGTTTAGGTTCGAGTCTCAAGAGCTGTAGGGTCAGAGAGGGTTATGGTCTGTTCAGGTGAAGCCTCCTGATTGGCTGTTCAGGTGAAGCCTCCTGATTGGTGGATTCTCACCGTGCTCCTGTAGCTTGGCGAGCTCCTCGCTCAGGGAGTCGTGGCTCTCCTCCAGGAGGCGCTTCTTCTGCTCCACACTCTGCATGTACTCAGTCAGAGACCGGATCTTAGCCTCATGCTGCAACACACACATACTGCATATATATATATGGCGCCGTGTCAAGATGGCGGCGTGTCACGGCGCCGCAGTGAGAGCTCTAGTGTGCACAATCTGTGTTTTGTTGCTGTTTGTCTTTGAGTCACTTGCCACTGTGAAGTATGACCGAGAGGCGCTTCTTAACCTTCAGGACCTAGCGTGTGACGGGTCACTCGTACTACCCAAACTGAGGTGCACAAACTTTGGCAGAAGTTCCAACAGAGCGAGGGGACTGGGCGTCTCCGGCGTTCTCTCCGCGGTGTGGAGCTGGGCACCTGGAGTCGGCGAAGGAGGCGCAGACACCGGGGAAGGCGAGGCGGTCTGCTCGTTCGTAGCCGCTCCTCCAGGACCCCTTTGCCCTCCATCTACCTGGCCAACGTCCAGTCTCTGCCCAACAAGACGGACGAGCTCCTGTGTCGGGTCCAGAGCCAGCGCGAGGCCCGGGACTGTGTTCTGTCTCAGCGAGACGTGGCTCCACTCGAACGTCCCGGACTCTGCTGTTCAGCCCCCGGGATTCACCGCTCACCGCTCGGACAGAGTGAAGGAGACCACGGGCAAGGCCAGAGGCGGAGGTGTGTGCTTTTTAATTAATCAGCGCTGGTGCACGGACACTCGAGTCGTGAACCAAACATGTACTGCCAATCTGGAATGCCTGGTCTTAAGCTGTCGCCCTTTTTATCTTCCCCGTGAGTTTTCAGTGATATTTTTATGTGCTGTTTACATTCACCCACGAGCGGATTACAAAGTAGCACTACAGGATCTGAGCGAGATCCTTCACAAACATGAGTTTGCTCATCCTAACGCAGTCATCATTGTTGCTGGGGATTTCAATAAATGTCATTTAAAGACTGTACTCCCGAACTTTTACCAACATGTGACTCAAGCTACAAGAGGAGCACATGTTCTGGATCACTGCTACAGTAACGTGAAGGGAGCTTACAGGTCCAGTCTCAGACCTCCTTTTGGAAAGTCTGACCACTCCTCTGTTCTCCTTCTTCCTTCGTATACTCAGAGGAGCAGGGAACATAAACCAACCTCTCGCACTGTGCAGTGTTGGTCTGAGGAGGCTAGCATGAAGCTACAAGGTTGTTTTGATGCTACGGACTGGTCTGTGTTTCAGTCAGAGGACGTCAATGAATTCTGTGACGCTGTGTCTGGATACACACGCTTCTGTATTGACGGCTGTGTCCCACAGAAGGTCATTAAAGAACATTTTAGTCAAAACCCTTGGATGAACGCGGAAGTGAAACTGAAACTTCATGAGCGTGCGTTGGCGTTTCAATCAAATGATACAGTTGCTTATAAGCTATCCTGTTACTCATTGAAACGTTCTATTAAATCTGCAAAGCGCAGTTACGGGGACAGGTTAAAGAGTTATTTTGAGGAAGATGACCCTCGGCGCATGTGGAACGGTATTAAAGCCATCACATCGTGGAAACCTAGCGCTGGGAAAACTGCATCTGTCGGCCAAGCTCTGCCTAATGAGCTGAACACGTTCTACTGTCGCTTTGAATCTGCCGATGCCTGTCCTACTGTATTCCCTGATTGTCTCAATCAAGGTCCCTTCACCGTGACTCAGGAGGAAGTCAGGCGTGTCTTGTCCAGGACCACAGTCCGGAAAGCCCCAGGCCCGGACGGCATCCCTCCTCGTGTCCTGAAACTGTGCTCTGAGCAACTTGCTCCTGTGCTAACAGACATTTTCAACCTGTCGCTAAGGAACTGTACTGTGCCGAACTGCTTTAAAGAGTCCACCATCATTCCAGTTCCTAAGAAAACTCCTGTGACATGCCTGAATGACTACCGCCCTGTGGCTCTCACGTCTGTTCTTATGAAGACTTTTGAGCGGCTTGTGCTGGACTTCATTAAGAGCCAGATCCCTGTGAGTGTTGACCCGCTCCAGTTTGTTACAGACAGAACAGGAGTGTGGAGGATGCATCTCCTTTGCTCTGAACTCTGTCTACAGTCACTTGGACACTAGTAAATCTGTGGCCAGAATGCTTTTCATCGATTATAGCTCTGCTTTTAACTGCCTTGTCCCAGGTTAACTGCCTTGTCCCAGGTTAACTGCCTTGTCCCAGGTTAACTGCCTTGTCCCAGGTAAACTGATGGAAAAGCTCATGTCTCCAGGTTTAAGTGTTGCCATGTGTAAATGGATTTTTATCTTTTTAACTGACAGATCTCAGAGAGTGAAAATCAATGAGTGTTTTTCTGATGTTGTTTCTGTGAGCACTGGTTCTCCTCAGGGATGTATTTTGAGTCCTTTGCTTTTTACTTTGTACACTCATGATTGTGTGTCCTCCTCTGACTCAAACTTGATCATCAAATATGCTGATGACACCACCATCATCGGTCTCATCAGTGACACTGATGAATCCTCTTATAGAGCAGAGATACAAAATGTGGTTCAGTGGAGTCAAACTAACAACCTCCAGTTGAACGCATCCAAAACATGTGAACTGGTCACGACTTCAGTCGCAATAGTTCTCATTTGCCTGTCGTAATCAACAACTCCCAGGTGCAGATCGTAGAGGAGCAAGTTTCTGGGTTTAACTCTGTCTAACCTGAAATGGGTTAAAAACACTGAGTCGTTAAGAAAGCTCGTCAGCGTCTCTACTTTCTGCGTAAACTTAGAGAATTTACCACTAACTCTAAGATTGTGCTTAACTTTTATGGCTGCACCATTGAGAGTTTACTTGTTGGTTCTGTGTCTGTGTGGTTTGGAAACATCACAGATAAAGAAAAGAGAGCTTTAAACAAGGTGCTCCGCTCTGCAAAGAGGACCGTGGGCTGTGAGACCAGAGAGAGACCAGAGAGAGACCAGAGAGAGACCAGAGAGAGACCAGAGAGAGACCAGAGCGAGACCAGAGAGAGACCAGAGAGAGACCAGAGAGAGACCAGAGAGAGACCAGAGAGAGACCAGAGAGAGACCAGAGCGAGACCAGAGAGAGACCAGAGAGAGACCAGAGAGAGACCAGAGAGAGACCAGAGAGAGACCAGAGAGAGACCAGAGAGAGAGACCAGAGAGAGAGACCAGAGAGAGAGACCAGAGAGAGACCAGAGAGAGACCAGAGAGAGACCAGAGAGAGACCAGAGCGAGACCAGAGAGAGACCAGAGAGAGAGACCAGAGAGAGAGACCAGAGAGAGAGACCAGAGAGAGACCAGAGAGAGACCAGAGAGAGACCAGAGAGAGGACCGTGGGCTGTGAGCTTCCTGTTCTGGAGGCTCTTTATAAATCCAGACTTTTAAACAAAGCTCTTAGGATTGTCAATGACTCTTCTGGCCACCCTGGGAAAGCCATGTTCCAGCTTCTTCCCTCTGGCAGAAGATATCGCTCTCTGAGATGCAGGACATCTCGTTACGCTAACAGTTTTTATCCACAGGCTGTTATTAGTGTGAACAGAGCACTTTAATGATTTGCACTTGTTTTGAAACTGTTTTAGTCGATCCATTTCACAGTGACATTTGTTTACTGTTTTATTTGTTTTATTTCTGTCTTTTAATGTTGTTTTATGTCTGTATTTGTCTGTGCACACTGGAGACTTTTGCTAATGTATTCCTATGTGGTTTTACTGCAAATGGCAAATAAACTGAATCTGAATCTGAGACCGGGTCTAAGACTCAGACCTGGGCCAAGACTCAGTCCTGGGTCTGCAGCCTCAGTCCTGGGTCTACAGTCTCAGTCCTGGGTCTACAGCCTCAGTCCTGGGTCTACAGTCTCAGTCCTGGGTCTACAGCCTCAGTCCTGGGTCTACAGCCTCAGTCCTGGGTCTACAGTCTCAGTCCTGGGTCTACAGTCTCAGTCCTGGGTCTACAGCCTCAGTCCTGGGTCTACAGCCTCAGTCCTGGGTCTACAGCCTCAGTCCTGGGTCTACAGTCTCAGTCCTGGGTCTACAGCCTCAGTCCTGGGTCTACAGCCTCAGTCCTGGGTCTACAGCCTCAGTCCTGGGTCTACAGCCTCAGTCCTGGTCCTCCCTGACCTGGGAGATGAGGAGGTGGCAGGAGGACAGCTCCCTCCCGGTCTCCTCCATCTTGCGGTGACAGTCGAGTTGCATGTTCTCCAGCTGCCTGCACCTCTTCACCATCGACTTCACCTCAGACTTGATCTTAGAGATGTAGAGACGGGCCACGGTGAACTCCTCCTCTATGGCCCCGCTGATCTCCACGGGCTGCACACAGGGACACGTTAGCACAGGGACGGGAGCACAGGGACACGTTAGCACAGGGACGGGAGCACAGGGACAGGGGAGCACAGGGACGGGAGCACAGGGACAGGGGAGCACAGGGACAGGGGAGCACAGGGACAGGGGAGCACAGGGACAGGGGAGCACAGGGACGGGAGCACAAGGGACAGGGGAGCACAGGGACAGGGGAGCACAGGGACAGGGGAGCACAGGGACAGGGGAGCACAGGGACAGGGGAGCACAGGGACGGGAGCACAGGGACAGGGGAGCACAGGGACGGGAGCACAGGGACAGGGGAGCACAGGGACAGGGGAGCACAGGGACAGGGGAGCACAGGGACGGGAGCACAGGGACAGGGGAGCACAGGGACGGGAGCACAGGGACAGGGGAGCACAGGGACAGGGGAGCACAGGGACAGGGGAGCACAGGGACAGGGGAGCACAGGGACAGGGGAGCACAGGGACAGGGGAGCACAGGGACAGGGAGCACAGGGACAGGGAGACAGGGACGGGAGCACAGGGACAGGGGAGCACAGGGACAGGGGAGCACAGGGACAGGGGAGCACAGGGACAGGGGAGCACAGGGACGGGAGCACAGGGACAGGGGAGCACAGGGACAGGGGAGCACAGGGACAGGGGAGCACAGGGACAGGGGAGCACAGGGACGGGAGCACAGGGACAGGGGAGCACAGGGACAGGGGAGCACAGGGACAGGGGAGCACAGGGACAGGGGAGCACAGGGACAGGGGAGCACAGGGATGGGAGCACAGGGAGCACAGGGACGGGAGCACAGGAACGGAGTGTCTGTGTGTGTGTGTGTCTCAGTGTGTGTCTGTGTGTGTGTGTGTGTCTCAGTGTGTGTCTGTGTGTGTGTGTGTGTCTCAGTGTGTGTGTCTCAGTGTGTGTCTGTGTGTGTGTGTGTGTCTCAGTGTGTGTCTGTGTGTGTGTGTGTGTCTCAGTGTGTGTGTGTCTCAGTGTGTGTCTGTGTGTGTGTGTCTCAGTGTGTGTGTGTGTGTGTGTGTGTGTCTCAGTGTGTGTCTGTGTGTGTGTGTGTGTGTCTCAGTGTGTGTCTGTGTGTGTTATGTCTCTGTGTGTGTCTGTGTGTGTTATGTGTGTCTGTGTGTGTTATGTCTCTGTGTGTGTCTGTGTGTGTCTGTGTGTGTTATGTGTCTGTGTGTGTTATGTGTCTGTGTGTGTTATGTCTCTGTGTGTGTTATGTGTCTGTGTGTGTGTGTGTGTCTCAGTGTGTGTCTGTGTGTGTTATGTGTCTGTGTGTGTCTGTGTCTGTGTGTGTCTGTGTGTGTTATGTCTCTGTGTGTGTCTGTGTGTGTGTGTGTCTGTGTGTCTCTGTGTGTGTCTGTGTGTGTTATGTCTCTGTGTGTGTCTGTGTGTGTCTGTGTGTGTTATGTCTCTGTGTGTGTCTGTGTGTGTCTGTGTGTGTGTCTCAGTGTGTGTCTGTGTGTGTTATGTCTCTGTGTGTCTCTGTGTGTGTCTGTGTGTGTTATGTCTCTGTGTGTGTCTGTGTGTGTTATGTCTCTGTGTGTGTTATGTGTCTGTGTGTGTTATGTGTCTGTGTGTGTCTGTGTGTGTTATGTGTCTGTGTGTGTCTGTGTCTGTGTGTGTCTGTGTGTGTTATGTCTCTGTGTGTGTCTGTGTGTGTGTGTGTCTGTGTGTCTCTGTGTGTGTCTGTGTGTGTTATGTCTCTGTGTGTGTCTGTGTGTGTCTGTGTGTGTTATGTCTCTGTGTGTGTCTGTGTGTGTCTGTGTGTGTGTCTCAGTGTGTGTCTGTGTGTGTTATGTCTCTGTGTGTCTCTGTGTGTGTCTGTGTGTGTTATGTCTCTGTGTGTGTCTGTGTGTGTTATGTGTCTGTGTGTGTGTGTTATGTCTCTGTGTGTGTCTGTGTGTGTTATGTGTCTGTGTGTGTCTGTGTGTGTGTGTGTGTGTGTGTGTCTGTGTGTGTCTGTGTGTGTGTCTCACCAGCTTGAGTTCCCCGTTGCCCACTATAGAGCTGAACTCGCTCAGGTCTCTCATGAGAGCGTTGAGGACGTCTGCGATTCTCTTCCTCTGCAGACCACTGACCTCCTGCATCCGCGACAACTCTGACTCCAGCTCCAGCAGACTGGACTACACACACACAGAGAGACGCACACACACACACACGCACACACACAGAGAGACGCACACACACACACACATGCACACACACAGAGAGACGCACACACACACACACACACAGAGAGACGCACACACACACACACACACAGAGAGACGCACACACACACACACGCACACACACAGAGAGACGCACACACACACACACGCACACACACAGAGAGACGCACACACACACACAGAGAGACGCACACACACACACACACACAGAGAGACGCACACACACACACATGCACACACACAGAGAGACGCACACACACACACACACACACAGAGAGACGCCACACACACACACAGAGAGACGCACACACACACACACGCACACACACAGAGAGACGCACACACACACACAGAGAGACGCACACACACACACACACACAGAGAGACGCACACACACACACATGCACACACACAGAGAGACGCACACACACACACACACGCACACACACAGAGAGACGCACACACACACACAGAGACACAGAGACACACACACACACACAGAGAGACGCACACACACACACATGCACACACACAGAGAGACGCACACACACACACACACACACAGAGAGACGCACACACACACACACACACACACACACAGAGAGACGCACACACACACACACACAGAGAGACGCACACACACACACATGCACACACACAGAGAGACGCACACACACACACACACACGCACACACACAGAGAGACGCACACACACACACATGCACACACACAGAGAGACGCACACACACACACACGCACACACACAGAGAGACGCACACACACACACACTCACACACACAGAGAGACGCACACACACACACATGCACACACACAGAGAGACGCACACACACACACACGCACACACACAGAGAGACGCACACACACACACATGCACACACACAGAGAGACGCACACACACACACACACGAACGCACGCACACACACACACACACAGCATTATCCATCTGTGTTTCTGTCGTTGTCACTGTGATTAGTGTGCGTCTGCTGTGTGTGTGTATGTTGTGCGTCTGCTGTGTGTGTGTATGTTGTGCGTCTGCTGTGTGTATAGCGGTGTGTGTGTGTTCTTGATAATTGTGCTGCTCATCAAAGATCGGTGAAAGTCTGTATAAAGACCATGGACAGACGTTTGATGGTATCTCTGATGGTTCTTTGATGGTATCTCTGATGGTTCTTTGATGGTATCTCTGATGGTTCTTTGATGGTATCTCTGATGGTTCTTTGATGGTATCTTTGATGGTATCTTTGATGGTATCTATCGTATTAAAAACCTATAGATTTATTCCTTCCTTGAGATAAGAAGTCTCTGCAGCTGTCACTGGTCTGACATCTCCTTCTCCAAACAACTCCCTTCATTAGTCCAACAGCCGCTTCCTAAAGAATAAACCTATAGAGCACAGAACCCTCAAATCACACTAACAACATAGTATCAAAGTGTTAGGACATGAAATCACTACAATATAAAGTAAATATATGTTAAGAAAGGTTATGTGTATTATCATATCAACAGTTGTGTGGATTAGCAGCGTCTAGCCAAGAATACAGTCCTCCCTCAGCCCCAGATAACACTCTGGTCTGAAGGACAAGAAGAGACAAGGTGTGACTTAGTCCCACACATGGAGACGCCTCTGGTGAAGGAGACGATTGTCCTCCATGGAGACGCCTCTGGTGAAGGAGACGATTGTCCTCCATGGAGACGCCTCTGGTGAAGGAGACGATTGTCCTCCATGGAGACGCCTCTGGTGAAGGAGACGATTGTCCTCCATGGAGACGCCTCTGGTGAAGGAGACGATTGTCCTCAGGAGACGCCTCTGGTGAAGGAGACGATTGTCCTCCATGGAGACGCCTCTGGTGAAGGAGACGATTGTCCTCCATGGAGACGCCTCTGGTGAAGGAGACGATTGTCCTCCATGGAGACGCCTCTGGTGAAGGAGACGATTGTCCTCCATGGAGACGCCTCTGGTGAAGGAGACGATTGTCCTCCATGGAGACGCCTCTGGTGAAGGAGACGATTGTCCTCCATGGAGACGCCTCTGGTGAAGGAGACGATTGTCCTCCATGGAGACGCCTCTGGTGAAGGAGACGATTGTCCTCCATGGAGACGCCTCTGGTGAAGGAGACGATTGTCCTCCATGGAGACGCCTCTGGTGAAGGAGAGATTGTCCTCCATGGAGACGCCTCTGGTGAGGAGACGATTGTCCTCCATGGAGACGCCTCTGGTGAAGGAGACGATTGTCCTCCATGGAGACGCCTCTGGTGAAGGAGACGATTGTCCTCCATGGAGACGCCTCTGGTGAAGGAGACGATTGTCCTCCATGGAGACGCCTCTGGTGAAGGAGACGATTGTCCTCCATGGAGACGCCTCTGGTGAAGGAGACGATTGTCCTCCATGGAGACGCCTCTGGTGAAGGAGACGATTGTCCTCCATGGAGACGCCTCTGGTGAAGGAGACGATTGTCCTCCATGGAGACGCCTCTGGTGAAGGAGACGATTGTCCTCCATGGAGACGCCTCTGGTGAAGGAGACGATTGTCCTCCATGGAGACGCCTCTGGTGAAGGAGACGATTGTCCTCCATGGAGACGCCTCTGGTGAAGGAGACGATTGTCCTCCATGGAGACGCCTCTGGTGAAGGAGACGATTGTCCTCCATGGAGACGCCTCTGGTGAAGGAGACGATTGTCCTCCATGGAGACGCCTCTGGTGAAGGAGACGATTGTCCTCCATGGAGACGCCTCTGGTGAAGGAGACGATTGTCCTCCATGGAGACGCCTCTGGTGAAGGAGACGATTGTCCTCCATGGAGACGCCTCTGGTGAAGGAGACGATTGTCCTCCATGGAGACGCCTCTGGTGAAGGAGACGATTGTCCTCCATGGAGACGCCTCTGGTGAAGGAGACGATTGTCCTCCATGGAGACGCCTCTGGTGAAGGAGACGATTGTCCTCCATGGAGACGCCTCTGGTGAAGGAGACGATTGTCCTCCATGGAGACGCCTCTGGTGAAGGAGACGATTGTCCTCCATGGAGACGCCTCTGGTGAAGGAGACGATTGTCCTCCATGGAGACGCCTCTGGTGAAGGAGACGATTGTCCTCCATGGAGACGCCTCTGGTGAAGGAGACGATTGTCCTCCATGGAGACGCCTCTGGTGAAGGAGACGATTGTCCTCCATGGAGACGCCTCTGGTGAAGGAGACGATTGTCCTCCATGGAGACGCCTCTGGTGAAGGAGACGATTGTCCTCCATGGAGACGCCTCTGGTGAAGGAGACGATTGTCCTCCATGGAGACGCCTCTGGTGAAGGAGACGATTGTCCTCCATGGAGACGCCTCTGGTGAAGGAGACGATTGTCCTCCATGGAGACGCCTCTGGTGAAGGAGACGATTGTCCTCCATGGAGACGCCTCTGGTGAAGGAGACGATTGTCCTCCAAGACAGAGTTCAATAGGTCATGATTGTCACATCTGTTTTAGTGCGTCAGCGTATTTATATAAATACAACATATCTCTGATGGTTCTTTGATGGTATCTTTGATGGTATCTCTGATGGTATCTCTGATGGGTCTTTGATGGTCTCTTTGATTGTATCTCTGATGGGTCTTTGATGGTATCTCTGATGGTATCTTTGATGGTATCTCTGATGGTTCTTTGATGGTATCTTTGATGGTATCTTTGATGGTATCTCTGATGGTATCTTTGATGGTATCTTTGATGGTATCTTTGATGGTATCTCTGATGGTATCTTTGATGGTATATTTGATGGTATCTCTGATGGTTCTTTGATGGTATCTTTGATGGTATCTCTGATGGTATCTTTGATGGTATCTCTGATCTCTTAAGTGTAGTATTAAAGGGGATTTCTATAAATGTGTTAAAGCCGTGTACGAGGCACCAGCAGCAAGTGAACCATGTGAGGTTTCCTGCTCCCTTTGGTGAACCATGTGAGGTTTCCTGCTCCCTTTGGTGAACCATGTGAACCATGTGAGGTTTCCTGCTCCCTTTGGTGAACCATGTGAGGTTTCCTGCTCCCTTTGGTGAACCATGTGAACCATGTGAGGTTTCCTGCTCCCTTTGGAGTGAAACAACATTATTTGCTCTTTCTGTTAATGATTTGGCGCAGGAGGTAAAGAGAGCAACTTTGGAAATAACTATTGATGACTTTAACCTCAGCATTTTATTATAAACTGATGATAATGTTTGGATTTTATGAATGTGTGGTGTTCCAAATGGATATTAATTGTGAAAAAACTCAAATAGTTCATTTTAGAAAACTGTCTGTATCACAAAGTGATTATACATTTTCTTTCAGTCAAACATTGAAATGTCTCCACTGTGAGACTAATAAAGGTTTATCTTAAGGTCAATACAAGATGGCGCCTCTTTGCTGCTCTCTTCTTCTTTTGTTTTTACTTTTTAACTGTGCATCTGGCTGTTCCTACACCCGTGAGGAACTTATGAACATCCGACCCACCGTCCCCATGGACCTATTGCCTGTTTTCTTGGCATCTGCAGCTGATTTAGTCCATGTTCTAGCCAAAAAAGTGTGGGCCCGTAAAAGGGGAAAGCGCGGAGGCTGCTCGTGCGTCTGAGGAGGAGAGGAGCCTCTCCCCGGAATTTTTCTGTCCAACGTACGCTCACTGGGCAATAAGACGAACTCAGCCTGCTCATGAGAAGAAACAAGGACTTCATCCTGTGTCCTCTGCTTCACTGAGACCTGGTGTCCTCTGTGTCCTCTGCTTCACTGAGACCTGGTGTCCTCTGTGTCCTCTGCTTCACTGAGACCTGGTGTCCTCTGTGTCCTCTGCTTCACTGAGACCTGGTGTCCTCTGTGTCCTCTGCTTCACTGAGACCTGGTGTCCTCTGTGTCCTCTGCTTCACTGAGACCTGGTGTCCTCTGTGTCCTCTGCTTCACTGAGACCTGGTGTCCTCTGTGTCCTCTGCTTCACTGAGACCTGATGTCCTCTGTGTCCTCTGCTTCACTGAGACCTGGTGTCCTCTGTGTCCTCTGCTTCACTGAGACCTGGTGTCCTCTGTGTCCTCTGCTTCACTGAGACCTGGTGTCCTCTGTGTCCTCTGCTTCACTGAGACCTGGTGTCCTCTGTGTCCTCTGCTTCACTGAGACCTGGTGTCCTCTGTGTCCTCTGCTTCACTGAGACCTGGTGTCCTCTGTGTCCTCTGCTTCACTGAGACCTGGTGTCCTCTGTGTCCTCTGCTTCACTGAGACCTGGTGTCCTCTGTGTCCTCTGCTTCACTGAGACCTGGTGTCCTCTGTGTCCTCTGCTTCACTGAGACCTGGTGTCCTCTGTGTCCTCTGCTTCACTGAGACCTGGTGTCCTCTGTGTCCTCTGCTTCACTGAGACCTGGTGTCCTCTGTGTCCTCTGCTTCACTGAGACCTGGTGTCCTCTGTGTCCTCTGCTTCACTGAGACCTGGTGTCCTCTGTGTCCTCTGCTTCACTGAGACCTGGTGTCCTCTGTGTCCTCTGCTTCACTGAGACCTGGTGTCCTCTGTGTCCTCTGCTTCACTGAGACCTGGTGTCCTCTGTGTCCTCTGCTTCACTGAGACCTGGTGTCCTCTGTGTCCTCTGCTTCACTGAGACCTGGTGTCCTCTGTGTCCTCTGCTTCACTGAGACCTGGTGTCCTCTGTGTCCTCTGCTTCACTGACTAACGATGTGACAGTGATCTCCAAGCACTGCTCTCCTGCTCTGGAATATATTTTCATTCATTGTAAACCATATTACTCTCCTCGCGAGCTCGTTTAATTCATTCTTGCCTCTGTTTACATACCGCCATGCGCGGACGCAGAGCAAGTACTGTGTATGGAACGCTTATACCCGGACTCTCTGATTATTATCCTGGGGGATTTTAATAAGGGAAACTTGAGCCAGGAATTACCCAAATACAGACAGTTTATCAAATGCCCGACCAGAGAGGAGAACACTCTGAATCACTGTTACACCACCGTGCGCGGAGCTTTTCGCGCTGTTCCCAAGGCAGCCCTCGGCTTCTCAGATCACTCCATGATACATCTGGTTCCTGCTTACAGACAGAGACTAAAGCTCTCGAAACCTGCAGTGAGGAGCTCCAAAGTGTGGTCTGATGAAGCTGTGGAAGAGCTGCATGCATGGAATCTACAGACTGGGACCTTTTCAGAGCTGCCACAGATAGTTTGGATGAATACACGGACACTGTGACGTCATACATTCACTTCTGTGAGGATAGCATCATTCCAACAAGGACCAGGGTCATCTATAACAACGACAAACCCTGGTTCACTGCTAAACTCCGGCAGCTCAGGAAAGCAAAGGAGTCTGCTTTCAGGGAGGGGGACCGCAGCGGCTACAAAGCAGCTAAATATCAGTTCAGGAAAGAACTGAAAGCAGCCAAGTCCCGGCACAGAGAACGACTACAGGAGCAGTTTGGTAACAACGATACTGCTTCTGTCTGGAGGGGCCTACGGGAGATCACCAACTACAAACCCAAAGCCCCCCCCTGTGCTGACGACCACAAGCTAGCTGACGAACTGAACTTATTTTTCAGTCGCTTTGATGCTGCCCCTGACACCTCTCCCTCCCCCACCCCCCACTACTCTAACGACCCACCCATCAGCCCTGCCCCCAGCCTAACAATAGCCTCTAAAGAGATTAAACAACTCTTCTTGAGGCTGCACCCCCGCAAAGCTCCTGGCCCGGACCACGTGTCTCCAGCCACTCTGAGACACTGCCCCAGTGAGCTTACTCCTGTGTTCACGGACATTTTCAACTCCTCTCTGCAGTCCTGCCATGTCCCGGCCTGCTTCAAATCCTCCATCATTGTCCCCGTCCCGAAGAAGCCCAGGATCACAGGACTCAACGACTACAGACCTGTAGCACTTACGTCTGTCGTCATGAAGTCATTTGAACGCCTGGTTCTCTCCCATCTCAAGTCCTTCAGCTCCCCCCTCCTGGACCCCCTGCAGTTCACCTCCCCCCTCCTGGACCCCCTGCAGTTCACCTCCCCCCTCCTGGACCCCCTGCAGTTCACCTACAGAGCCAACAGATCTGTAGACGACGCCATTAACCTGGCCCTCCACCACATCCTACAGCACCTGGACTCCCCGGGGACCTACGCCAGGGTCCTGTTCGTGGACTTCAGCTCTGCCTTCAACACAATCCTGCCATCCCTGCTCCAGGACAAGCTCTCCCAGCTCAACGTGCCCGATTCCACCTGCAGGTGGATCACTGACTTCCTGACGGACAGGAAGCAGCAAGTGCGTCTGGGGAAGAATGTCTCGGACTCTCGGATTATAAATACAGGAGCCCCACAGGGCTGTGTTCTTTCTCCCCTGCTCTTCTCCCTGTACACCAACCACTGCACCTCCTCCCACTGCACCTCCTCCCACTGCACCTCCAGGCACGACTCCGTGAAGCTGATCAAGTTCACGGACGACACCACCCTCATTGGACTCTCCAACAACGATGAGTCCGCCTACAGGAGGGAGGTGGACCGGCTGGTGTCCTGGTGTCTCCTACAGGAGGGAGGTGGACCGGCTGGTGTCCTGGTGTCGCCTACAGGAGGAAGGTGGACCGGCTGGTGTCCTGGTGTCTCCTACAGGAGGGAGGTGGACCGGCTGGTGTCCTGGTGTCTCCTACAGGAGGGAGGTGGACCGGCTGGTGTCCTGGTGTCTCCTACAGGAGGGAGGTGGACCGGCTGGTGTCCTGGTGTCGCCTACAGGAGGGAGGTGGACCGGCTGGTGTCCTGGTGTCGCCTACAGGAGGGAGGTGGACCGGCTGGTGTCCTGGTGTCTCCTACAGGAGGGAGGTGGACCGGCTGGTGTCCTGGTGTCTCCTACAGGAGGAGGTGGACCGGCTGGTGTCTCCTACAGGAGGGAGGTGGACCGGCTGGTGTCCTGGTGTCTCCTACAGGAGGGAGGTGGACCGGCTGGTGTCCTGGTGTCTCCTACAGGAGGGAGGTGGACCGGCTGGTGTCCTGGTGTCTCCTACAGGAGGGAGGTGGACCGGCTGGTGTCCTGGTGTCTCCTACAGGAGGGAGGTGGACCGGCTGGTGTCCTGGTGTCTCCTACAGGAGGGAGGTGGACCGGCTGGTGTCCTGGTGTCTCCTACAGGAGGGAGGTGGACCGGCTGGTGTCCTGGTGTCTCCTACAGGAGGAGGTGGACCGGCTGGTGTCTCCTACAGGAGGGAGGTGGACCGGCTGGTGTCCTGGTGTCTCCTACAGGAGGGAGGTGGACCGGCTGGTGTCCTGGTGTCTCCTACAGGAGGGAGGTGGACCGGCTGGTGTCCTGGTGTCTCCTACAGGAGGGAGGTGGACCGGCTGGTGTCCTGGTGTCTCCTACAGGAGGGAGGTGGACCGGCTGGTGTCCTGGTGTCTCCTACAGGAGGGAGGTGGACCGGCTGGTGTCCTGGTGTCTCCTACAGGAGGGAGGTGGACCGGCTGGTGTCCTGGTGTCTCCTACAGGAGGGAGGTGGACCGGCTGGTGTCCTGGTGTCTCCTACAGGAGGGAGGTGGACCGGCTGGTGTCCTGGTGCAGTGGTAACAACCTGGAGCTGAACGCCCAGAAGACAGTGGAGATGATTGTGGACTTCAGGAAGAGCACTGTCCCCCCGCCCCCACCCTCCGTGATGGACTCCCCCATCACCTCTGTGGAGTCCTTCCGTTTCCTGGGCACCACCATCACCCAGGACCTCAAGTGGGAGCCGACCATCAGCTCCTCATCAAGAAGGCCCAGCAGAGGATGTACTTCCTGCGGCAGCTCAGGAAAGCCAAGCTGCAGTTCTACACGGCCATCATCGAGTCCATCCTCACCTCCTCCATCACCTCCTCCATCACCTCCTCCACCACCTCCTCCATCACCTCCATCACCTCCTCCACCACCTCCTCATCACCTCCTCCATCACCTCCTCCATCACCTCCTCCATCACCTCCTCATCACCTCCTCCATCACCTCCTCATCACCTCCTCATCACCTCCTCCATCACCTCCTCCATCACCTCCTCCATCACCTCCTCAGCACCTCCTCCATCACCTCCTCATCACCTCCTCCATCACCTCCTCCATCACCTCCTCCATCACCTCCTCCATCACCTCCTCCATGACCTCCTCCATCACCTCCTCATCACCTCCTCCATCACCTCCTCAGCACCTCCTCCATCACCTCCTCCATCACCTCCTCCATCACCTCCTCCATCACCTCCTCCATGACCTCCTCCATGACCTCCTCATCACCTCCTCCATCACCTCCTCCATCACCTCCTCAGCACCTCCTCCATCACCTCCTCCATCACCTCCTCCATCACTTCCTCCATCACTTCCTCCATCACCTCCTCTATCACCTCCTCCATCACCTCCTCCATCACCTCCTCATCACCTCCTCCATCACCTCCTCATCACCTCCTCCATCACCTCCTCAGCACCTCCTCCATCACCTCCTCCATCACCTCCTCATCACCTCCTCCATCACCTCCTCCATCACCTCCTCATCACCTCCTCATCACCTCCTCCATCACCTCCTCCATCACCTCCTCATCACCTCCTCATCACCTCCTCCATCACCTCCTCCATCACCTCCTCAGCACCTCCTCCATCACCTCCTCCATGACCTCCTCCATCACCTCCTCCATCACCTCCTCCATGACCTCCTCCATCACCTCCTCATCACCTCCTCATCACCTCCTCATCACCTCCTCCATCACCTCCTCCATCACCTCCTCAGCACCTCCTTCATCACCTCCTCCATCACCTCCTCCATCACCTCCCCCATCACCTCCTCATCACCTCCTCCCTCACCTCCTCCATCACCTCCTCCATCACCTCCTCATCACCTCCTCATCACCTCCTCCCTCACCTCCTCCTCACCTCCTCCATCACCTCCTCCATCACCTCCTCCATCACCTCCTCCATCACCTCCTCATCACCTCCTCCCTCACCTCCTCCATCACCTCCTCCATCACCTCCTCCATCACCTCCTCCATCACCTCCTCATCACCTCCTCCATCACCTCCTCATCACCTCCTCCCTCACCTCCTCCATCACCTCCTCCATCACCTGCTCCCTCACCTCCTCCCTCACCTCCTCATCACCTCCTCATCACCTCCTCATCACCTCCTCCATCACCTCCTCATCACCTCCTCAGCACCTCCTCCATCACCTCCTCCATCACCTCCTCCATCACCTCCTCCTTCACCTCCTCATCACCTCCTCCATCACCTCCTCCTTCACCTCCTCCATCACCTCCTCATCACCTCCTCCATCACCTCCTCCATCACCTCCTCCATCACCTCCTCATCACCTCCTCCATCACCTCCTCCATCACCTCCCCCATCACCTCCTCATCACCCCTCCCTCCCTCTCATCACCTCCTCCATCACCTCCTCCATCACCTCCTCATCACCTCCTCATCACCTCCTCCCTCACCTCCTCCCTCACTCCCCTCCTCCATCCCTCACCTCCCATCACCTCCTCCATCACCTCCTCCATCACCTCCTCCATCACCTCCTCATCACCTCCTCCTCACCTCCTCATCCCTCCTCCTCCTCACCTCCTCCATCACCTCCTCCATCACCTCCTCCATCACCTCCTCCATCACCTCCTCCCTCACCTCCTCCCTCACCTCCTCCATCACCTCCTCCATCACCTCCTCCATCACCTCCTCCATCACCTCCTCATCACCTCCTCCCTCACCTCCTCATCACCTCCTCCCTCACCTCCTCCATCACCTCCTCCATCACCTCCTACATCACCTCCTCCATCACCTCCTCCATCACCTCCTCATCACCTCCTCCATCACCTCCTCCATCACCTCCTCCATCACCTCCTCCATCACCTCCTCCATCACCTCCTCCATCACCTCCTCCAGCACCTCCTCCATCACCTCCTCCTTCACCTCCTTATCACCTCCTCCTTCACCTCCTCCATCACCTCCTCCATCACCTCCTCCATCACCTCCTCCATCACCTCCTCCATCACCTCCTCCATCACCTCCTCCAGCACCTCCTCCATCACCTCCTCCTTATCACCTCCTCCTTCACCTCCTCCATCACCTCCTCCATCACCTCCTCCATCACCTCCTCCATCACCTCCTCCATCACCTCCTCCATCACCTCCTCCATCACCTCCTCATCACCTCCTCCATCACCTCCTCCATCACCGTGTGGTTCGCTGGAGCCACAGTCAGGGACAAACAGAGACTACAGCGCATTGTGCGCTCTGCAGAGGAAGTGATCGGCCGCAGCCTTCCATCGCTGCAGGACCTGTACGTCGCCCGAGCTCGAGGCCGGGCTGGTCGTATCACAGCCGACCCCTCTCACCTGCACATGGACTATTCCAACCACTCCCCTCTCACCCTGCACATGGACTATTCCAACCACTCCCCTCTCACCTGCACATGGACTATTCCAACCACTCCCTTCTCACCCTGCACATGGACTATTCCAACCACTCCCCTCTCACCTGCACATGGACTATTCCAACCACTCCCCTCTCACCTGCACATGGACTATTCCAACCACTCCCCTCTCACCTGCACATGGACTATTCCAACCACTCCCCTCTCACCTGCACATGGACTATTCCAACCACTCCCCTCTCACCTGCACATGGACTATTCCAACCACTCCCCTCTCACCTGCACATGGACTATTCCAACCACTCCCCTCTCACCTGCACATGGACTATTCCAACCACTCCCCTCTCACCTGCACATGGACTATTCCAACCACTCCCCTCTCACCTGCACATGGACTATTCCAACCACTCCCCTCTCACCTGCACATGGACTATTCCAACCACTCCCCTCTCACCTGCACATGGACTATTCCAACCACTCCCCTCTCACCTGCACATGGACTATTCCAACCACTCCCCTCAGGCAGGAGGCTGCGGTCCATCAGGACTAGAACCTCCCGCCACAAGAACAGTTTCTTCCCCTCTGCTGTTGGACTCTTGAACACTTCTTAACCTGTCCCCCCGCCCTTTATAAAGTCACTTTACTGCTCTTTATAAAGTCACTTTACTGCTCTTTATAAAGTCACTTTACTGCCCTTTATAAAGTCACTTTACTGCCCTTTATAAAGTCACTTTACTTCACTGTACTGCTGTCACCTTACATGGTGTGCACCATGTGCACTTGTAAATGATTCTGATTCTGATTATTCTGTTACCCATAAGTATCTTGGTTTTACTTTTCATGAGAATATGAATTTTTCTGAGAGTAGAAAGATACGAGCAGAGTCTGCGGGGAGGGCCTTAGTGTCTGTGTACGTTGTGCGTCTGTATATGTGTGCGTCTGCTGTGTGTGTTGTGCGTCTGCTGTGTGTGTTGTGCGTCTGTATGTGTTGTGCGTCTGCTGTGTATGTTGTGCGTCTGCTGTGTGTGTTGTGCGTCTGCTGTGTGTGTTGTGCGTCTGTATGTGTTGTGCGTCTGCTGTGTGTGTTGTGCGTCTGCTGTGTGTGTTGTGCGTCTGTATGTGTTGTGCGTCTGCTGTGTGTGCTCACCATCTTCTGTGCTAGCTGGTCAGCCAGCAATTGGTTCTGGAGGCCCTTCTCCTCCACCTCCAGACTCTTCTGGTCGTAGTTGATGGCGAGCTCCTCCAGCGCCTGCAGCACCTCCTTCACCTCCGCCTTCGCACAGTCGCTCTCCACCTGCAGCCGCCCCAGCTCCACCTGCACCTTATCCCCGTCACCGCGGGAGGAGGCCAGCAGCTGCAGGGCACAGGGGCATGGAGGAGATGGGCTAACAGCTAACCGCTAACTGCTAACCGCTAAAGGCTAACTGCTAGCCGCTAACAGCTAAAGGCTAATGGCTAATGGCTAAGGACTAATGACTAACCGCTAACGGCTAAC